TGCAATTCCAGGAGGAACATTTGTTCAACCAACTCTCGTCCCCCTGGTAGCGCCGAGACAATGCCCAGATCGATGGACTCCAGCAGTCCCAGGCGCGAGCAGGCATCCCGACATGACTGCATATCGAGCTTCCATGACAGGAAGCAATGACTAGCAGACACGATTGGGACTTTGGTTGCTAAGGTCCCTCCATACTAATCTGACTGGGTCAGGATATAAATCCAGAACCACGCCCACCTCTCATCAGAACGGTTTGCCTTGATCTCCAAGGGAATCCAGCCTCCAATTCACCTCCCTCGCTCATCTCAGTCCAATCCTCCCTTTCAAATACGCAAAACACGTTCAGAGTGTTTGCATTGGACATCAGACACCATGGTTCGCGCTTCATCCTACCTCGGCTCCCTTGCCGTCCTCGCCGCCTCGGCGATGGCCAAGGAGATCCAGATGAACGATGCCATCTCGGCTGAGTTCTACGACTCTGGCAAGGTCCACGAACAGGTCATTGCTGCTAAGAAGGTAAGCTCAGAACCCCGATGATCACCACAGGCAATGTGACTGACGAAAGACGCCAGGCCGAGTTCGCTCGCCAGAGAGAAGCTGGTGCCTACAACAGTGAGGTCTGGCCCGAGCTGGGCTACACCCCCTGTGTAAACGGTTGGGCCGAGGCCGTCGTTGGAGACAGGAACAACACCTTCAGGTGCCACAACGTAAGTTCCCACCAGAAACATGGCTCTTGCCGAGACACTCGAATAACACATTCTAGGCCGACCTGTACTCCTTTGTCAGCCACGCTGCCCTCGGTGGACCCCTTGCTGAGGGTTCTTCCTCTTGGGGATGGACTAACGACGATGGTCGTGAGTTCGTCGCCATCGGCCAGTATGAGGGTACAGCTTTCGCTGAGATCCTCTCGGACGGCAAGCTCGTCTACCTCGGCCGCCTACCCCAGTACTCGGCGCCCTCCGAGTGGCGCGAGATCCGCTCTTACAAGCACTACATGGTCATCGGCTCCGAAGCCGTCGGCCACGGCATCCAGATCTTCGACATGAAGAAGCTCTTGGATATCGACCCCGCCAGCCCCGTCGTCTTCGACGCCAAGGCTGACTTGACCGGTCACTTCAACGCCCTCCTGCCTCTGGGCCGTGCTCACAACGTCGTCATCAACGAGGAGCTCAACTACGGTGTCGCTGTTGGTGCCGCGCCCCGTACCGACCCCCTTTGCGCCGCTGGTCTGAACTTCTTCGACCTGACGGACCCCTCCAACCCCGTTTCTCTGGGTTGCGCCAAGGACGACGGATACGTCCACGACGCCCAGTGCTTGGTCTACCGTGGACCCGATAAGCGCTACCAGGGCCGTGACATCTGCTACGGCTACAACGAGGATACCCTCACCATCTACGACGTTACCGACAAGGCCAACGTCACTAACATCATCTCCCGCATCTCGTACGAGGGTGCTTCCTACACTCACCAGGGTTGGGTCCTTGACGTGAACAACCAGGAGTTCCTTGTCCTGGATGACGAGCTTGATGAGGTATGTTAAATTGCATTATCCTAAGTATCAGCAAAAGCTAAACGTTGATCCTACAGGTTCGCGGCAATGGCCCTGGCGGAGACGGCTACCCCGTCACTTTCATCTGGGACATCAGGGACCTTGAGAACCCCAAGCAGACCGGAGGTGTGTAACCACAAACAACTTATCACAAGACACAATGGAAGACTAACAACACTACAGAGTTCAAGCACCCCACCAAGGCCATCGACCACAACCAGTACGTCATCGACAACTACATCTACCAATCCCACTACGGCGCCGGCCTCCGCGTCCTCGATGGCACCTCCATCCCCACAGACCCCACTGGTGCCGGCGTCTGCGAGGCCGCCTACTTCGACATCTACCCCGAGGACGACGACTTCGAGGGCGGCGGCTACGTCGGCTTCGTCGGAACCTGGTCCTCGTATGCCTACTTCCCCTCAGGCTACATCTTCATCAACACCATCGAGCGCGGCGCCTTCGTCGTCAAGCTGACCGGCAAGGACTGCCCCAAGGCCCCCGTCTGCAACGCCGACAACTGCCTGCGCTCGTTCCGCGCCACTACCATCCCTGGCCGTCTCGAGGAGTCGCAGGCTTTCTGCAAGTCGTTCCTGAGCAAGCCTGTCAAGGATGCTAGCGTTCTCCCCGCGCACGCGGTGCAGAACTGCGCCAAGGAGGATAAGGTTGCTCAGGCTAGCAGTGCTTGCGCCTGCCTGCCCGCTGCCACCCCCGCTCCTTGAAGCTGGATAATGAAACGGGAGGAGAGACACGAAGACGTTCGATGATAATGCGTGATGCGACGTAGATAATTCTTAGTACCTAGTTTACCCTCTCAGTCGGTTGCCCACGATACGTGGCTTCTGAGAGTTTGTTAGCAACAATTGATGAAAACATCGACCTGAACTTACACGATATTGAAGTACTTTATGCATGCCGCACGTGAAGCCACAGAACCGGACCCAACTTGAATTTCCGTCGCGTATCCCAGTGTGGCAGATCGATGATTGAATCCACGCAGTTGTTTTAATGCTGCTTCGGGAATCATCTTTCTGAATGTCTCAAGAAGTGATCGTTGAATAAATACCTAAACCCATAGCCATCAAGCAAAATAACCCGGCCATTACTGTCCCGAAACCATGTGCCGGGCTCGTGGGCCCCAACAGTAAGGACTCCCAACCCATAACTTTCCTCGACCTTCAAACTTTCTATCCTCTCAATATCTTTCCTGACTAAGGATCTAGTCTCAACATGTTGTCCATTTCTCAAGCCAGCGGTATGACTATCATACCCGTATACACATCAGATAGCGAGTCGGGAAGATAAAGTTTCAGCGGACTCAATCTTATAGAAGCAGAACTGGCTGTTACTACTTTGTCGAAACCATGTCCCAGATTCGGAACGACGCAGATGGGCTTCTCTGTGTTGCAGGCTGCTTCTATTCAGACAACACCAATGAAGTCTTTGTCAAAAGCTTAGCGGGTGTAATGGAAGATGATGGTCAGTACCTGTGCTGCAATCAATATGACTAAATGCATGGAGTCTGGACTACGGCATATCCCATTTCTGGATTACTTGGTGAGGACGGTTGACAGCCGCGCCACTTACAAAGCGGTCAGCAAAACAGTTCTGGAAAAGGCCGCTTATTTCTTCCTGACGACAATTCGACAAGTTCTACCAGGTAATCAAGATGAACTTCTGATTACGACAGCGACCATGCCCAACTTGGTTTCCTTCCCAACATCAATTTGTACCTCAGCTTGATGATGTATACAAAATTGTCAACGTAGCCGCGCATGAAAGGTGCCTCCATCAACTTGCATGACTATCGACAGCAATTAAGAGCAAAATTACCGATTTAGCTACAGCAATTGAGGAAAAGAATCAATTAGGCCCCACATCCCCAAGAGTTCTTCGCGTTTAAGGTGTGCAACAAGCTCAGAACTTGCATGCGACCCACGGACCTTGGTGCGGCGATCTTGAAACGCGCCCTTGAAACATCAAGAACGACCATTGAGCGTCGTCCCGAGCTTTCTTCTCGACAGCGACGCGAAAATACATCAGACCGAACTTTCTCTTCTTACCAAAATCACCAAACACGAAATCAACGACTATCGACATGAGTATACGCATGCTTCTCGCAGGCCTGGCCTTTGGCCAGACACTAGGCCTCAAGACTCAAGTCCCCTTATTCGAATCATGCGCCGCAAGCCCGCTTCTTCCAGACTCCCAACTCGCCTGCAGCAAACCCACAATCTTGACCTCTGGAGGATCGCCTGTCTTGGACAACGTCGCCGGAAATCGGACAGCGAAGCCGCCCAAGAAGGACATTTGGCGTTCGGACGAAGGCTGGCAAGGCCCTCACTCCTGCGCGGGAGCGTACTGCGCCTACTCGCGGCCATCCTTTGCTAATGGCCGCGGCATCGTCCTCGTGAGCACAGCGTACAACGCCGAAGAGGCGTCTCATCTAGCAGCTTTTGCAAAGGAGTCGATCAAGGGTGAAGGCGACAGCGAGCTGTTCCGTGTGGTGGAGATGCCTGGCAAGGGGCTAGGTGTCATTGCGAACCAGCATATCCGGCGTGGGCAGCGGATCATGGCTCACCCGCCGGCTGTTGTTGTACATCGCAGGTTCGTTGATGACATTGATCTTGAGAATCAGTACCGTCTGCTTGATGTAGCCGCCGGAAAGCTTCCGCGGGATACCCGAAAAACTTTCATGGCGCAGATGGGTCAGTCTCGCGAGCATCAATCTACGGGACACAAGGTGCACGATATCATGCACACCAACTCATTCGAGCTTGGCCTTGGGATCAGAGATGGTCATCACTTTGGTAACTACCCAGAGGTCTCGCGCTACAATCACGATTGTAGGCCAAAGTGAGTGACCCAAGTTCCCTTATGGCTTATGAGCTATATGTTATGTCATTTCATGTAGCTAACACAGCCGAGCGTTGCCTTCTACATCGACGACTCAGACATGCGGCACTATACTCATGCCATCAAAGACATCCAACCTGGCGAGGAACTCACAATCTCCTACGTCGACTCCCTGAGTTCCCGCGCCGTCCGCCAAGATCGAGCTCAGCGCAACTGGGGCTTCGGCTGCACTTGTCAGCAATGCAGTCTCTCCGAGGCCTTCATCCGCTCTTCTGATCAACGCCTCGGCAAGATGTGGCAAATCGAGCAGCAAATGAGTCACTGGAACGGCGCCAAGGTCGACGAGGAGATGATTGAGGAGCTCATTTCGCTCTACCGGCAAGAGCAGCTTGACCAATCTCACGGTTCGGATGCATTCAGACTTGCTGCGCTTAATTACAACTCTTTGGGAATGGAAAAGGAGGCGCTCGAGTATGCTAAGCTTGCTGAAGAGCAGTTTATGCTTGAGAAGGGTCCACGGGCGAAGCAGGTGCAGGATATGAGAGACTTGATGCAGGACCCGAAGGAGCACTACAGTTGGCGACAAAGAGTTTGATTGGTGCTGCAAATGGTTCTTCTTACTCCAATTTGAGTGTAAATTGCTTTGAGAAAATAGCCTTTCATTTACCAAAAGTTCATTTCAGTCATGTTTAGAGCTTCTGGCCAACCTTGACTTCGTCTCTCTCATGCCTCTCCAAGTGTTCTATGAAGTTCTTCGATCGAGAAAGATGTTATCTCAGAACGGGCGACTCTCGACTTCTTTCTTCAGATCTTCATTGAACTGGTTCCATCCAAAAAGAACCTTCTGCCTGAAACCCCACATTGGTGCCATAATAAATGCCAAGAGGCCACGAATCTCCTCGACCTGAATGAACCTGGTGCCTCCGGAGTTTTGCTCACTCGGGTTGAACCAAAACTCATGTTTGCCAGTGAATAAGAACGGAACCGACCCCACCCAATGGAGCGTCTCACTTGTGTTTTCCTAGTTGTTCAAAGAGAGTCAGTCAACTCAATCACAACTACCTTTCTGTAGACAGCAAAGCCCATCTAGCGAAGAAGAACCGAAAACTCCTTACCATGATGACTGGGCTGAATGCCATTCCTCCCATGTCAACCTTGATCTTATCGCCATCCTTGAGCTCCAAGGGATCCTTGCCCGGCTCAGTCGGCTCGATAGTCCACTTCTGACTCCACTGCTTGTATTTGCTGAACTCCAGAAACTAATCAGACGCGAAGTCAGCACAGAGCGTCAATGGAAGTTTCCATCATTTGTCCGAAACGCGCCTCGGGTTCGCCCTATTTCGCAGGGTCCATACCACTGATCTCACGGCCGACGGCGGGGCCTGGATTTCAATCTCTGCCGCGATGCTTTGCGATTGACCCATGGCTATGGTTCTTGATCTAAATATAGCTTTCGTAGGGGGTTTTGACAGATTTGGCTCTTTCGATTGAATGTGGATCTCTTATGCCGGTATTGTTGGATGGATGGCTGAATCTAGTACTATGATGTCTTTCAAGAACAACACCGGAAGACGAGCATCTGAGGGTGATTGAGGGAAATACTGGGTTCATATACGTTTTTGATACGAGTTTATAGATAACCGCCCATTGGTGGTTTTCTGCTGACTGCATAAACATATCTCACCATCGCTTAAGCCACCGAGCGGCTGCCAGACCGCGATCGGCTAGGCTGGGCACTGAACCCCGGGCTGCGCCGCAGCCACGATCTATCAAAACAGAATCCCGCCGGCCGTCAATTAGTCCGGAAACACACAGCTCCAAACCCCAAACCCGCGCCAGCCAAACGACGACAGACTCAGCCAGCCATGTAGGGTCCTGTTTCCCCGAATCCCAATGTTCCCATTACCGAGTCCGTTTATTTAGATCTCTTTGACCTACTCCCAGACTCCGTCACCCCAAAAGCCATTGAACACGAGAGTTACTCATTGAAACTGTGGCCGCTCGGAAGCAAGTACCCACATGTCGTTGTGGGTGAAGACACCGGCGTGGTTGACTTCCTTCCACGGTGTATCGGGTCTCGCAAGACACCAGTCAAAGTTGCGCATCAACTGCACCGATATGTCAGCTCGCAGATCATTCAAAGAGATGCGTTGAGGGATATTGTGCTCGACTCACCTCGAAAATAGTCTTGCCAATCTCCATCATCGCAATGGGCCGGCCAAGGCACTGATACTTTCCATACCCAAAGATAAGCTCGTGCACCCGATGCATATTCACCAACCGCCTCTCGTCCTCCTCCAACAACCACCGCTCAGGCCGGAACTCGTCCGCGTCCTCGCCAAAGATCTCCTTGCTGAGGTGCATCGGCCACGCCGCGGCATTGATGTTCGTACCACCGGGCAAGAACACCGACTCGCCGTTCACGACGACCGTGTCGCCTCCGTCCGGCACCCGCTTGGGATCCATATTCGTCACGGGTGGGTGCACGCGCATGCCCTCCTTAATAACGGCCTGCAGATACGGCATCCGCCTGTTCTCCGCGTCCGAGACGATACCTGACGGTCGGGACCCGATCTGCCCGTCCCTGACGTACGCGTCAATCTCAGCCTGGAGCTTCGCGTAGACGCGGGCGTGGGTGAGGAGGTAGAGCATGATGATACGCAGCGACGCGGCGGTGGTGTCGGACCCGGCAATCATCTGCAGCGTCGTCTCGGAGAGAATCTCGTCCTCGCTGAGGCCGTGCCGGATGAACGACGCAATCATATCCGACCGCTTCTCCGTGTCGCGCGCCAGGCGCTCCTTGATGATGGCGCGGCCGTTGGCGAACATGCGGCCGAAGCCCGAGGCGTCCGTCTCCTTGGGGCCGAGGAGGCGTGCCACGATGGGCTTCTGCAGGATCTTGTAGAGGCCCAGGCCGATCTTGTACGTAAAGATTGTCATGCCGACTTCGGCTGACTCGGCGACGCCAAACATGTCCTCGTCGGCGCGCAGGTCGCCAAAGGGCTTGCCGTAGCTGATGTTGCTGATGACGTCGAGCGTGAGGTACTGCATCTTCATGGCCAGGTCCATGGGCCGCGCTGCGAACTCTGTGGACATGTACTTTGACCGGATGAGCTGGACCAGCTCCGACACGTGTGTGTCGACTGAGTCCTCTAGCGCGAGGTTCTCTTTTCCAGAATACTTTGATGTTGGTTTCGTCAGTACTGGCATGGTCCGTATCAGACTAGGTAAGTGAAGATCGTCAAAAACGTACCCCGGCTCCCATCCGTTGCCTCAGCACCCTGTGCTTCTCCTCGTCCATCTCACTAAAGACGTGATCGTTCTCCGACATGTGCCGGCACGCGCGGTAGTACCACTCCGTCCGCGTATACGGCGACCGGATGCCGCTCATGTAGACGAGAAGCTCGGGCGAAGAAGTGATCAAGTCGTTCGGCCCGACGCGAGCAATCGTCCCTAAGAGGATGGGTTCAGCATTGGGCTTTCCTTCATGTTCAGCTCGGGCCATGCTGCGAACTTGGCAGCATGGTCGATCACGACGCTTGTAAGGAAGAAGACGGTGAAGGGGACTCGGGGGGAGAAAACCCTAACGGATGGGAAGGAAGAGAGGCTCACCGTATTTCCTGCATACTTCATCGTACTTCAGGTGAGACTTGAAAGTCAGAATCGCCCAGGCATGCCACGCCTCCGTCCAGCCGCACAGGACCGGGCCCTTGAACGCTCGGAGTCGATTATACGTCCTGATCTTCTGGCCGACGTACACAGCTACCAAGATCGCCGCGAAGAGCCAACGAAGGCTGTACAGTTGTGAAATGAGACCCATCTTTGTCAGTCGCAGGTCCTTCTTAGTATGAGAAGAGTGCGATGTGTGAAGGAGTAAAAGGGAAGGTGATCAACATGTGGGATTGGGAACTGGCCCTGAGATGTAGTAGTCCCGGGACGGCGGCTCAGGAACTTTAAAGAGCGCTTCGAAGGGGGCCTGTCTAGCTTCGGTACCGGGGCCTACGGTCCTCGTGGGATTTTATGAATCTGATGGCATGCCATCATCTCGCTTGGGCGCGAGGGCCTCATAGTGGGCAGTGGCGCTTTGAAGAACTGGGGTGGGAAGGGAGGGAAAGGGAAATGTCAGGTTGAGTCGTGCGTGCCGATCCCGTATCCCGTTAATTTTTTTCCCTGGGCTGGGAGCTCAGCTGGCTGTTCTCGGGAAAGGGGCTGAACGGCAGTTGAGCGTTGAGCTTTGACGATGAGATAATTGATAAGGAGTGAAAGGGACCCTCGTTGGACCGGGACCCCGGATGCAGTCAAGGGTCAAGACAGCCAAGGGCCCCATCGGGGATTCAGCAAAAGTGTCGGGAAAAAGCCACTCGGCGTCATATTGTTCGTTTCTGGTAAACCGTACGGATACACAATCTGATTTGCTTTTTCTTTCCTTTCCTTTCGCCCCCTTTTTCAACCGGTGAGGATACGGGGGCAAATGGGGCTGCGTACTCATCTCCAATGATATTGAAGTGATTTGGAGAACTTTGGAGTACTTTGGAGTTGGTGTGTGTAGCCAAGAGCTCGAACTTATTCCCATCTAGTCCTGTTGCATATGTAAAGCATCGTGGACCGGCGTTATGACGAGGTCTGGAACTCCGTCCAAGATGGATCTCCGGCCAAGGAAAGGGGGACTTTGGAGTTCAAAAGTCCAGATGACGTGGACCTCAGGCCAGATTACATGCTTGGTATTGTGGCCACTGAGTAATCCCATTGTTCATCTGAGGGGTATTTGTCCAGAAAATGGTTGATTGGGCTCGATCTCACTCAGCTGATCGTGCTCGGTTTCCAACGTTCGAGTCTCATTCCCGGGGCGTACAAAAGCAATGTTCTGTCGGTGATATCTTTTTTATGAAAAAACAAAAACGACACTATTGAATGTTGTATGTATCCGTGCGCTGCTCTGCTCCCGGACCTTCGGATTCCTCCCGACCGTTACCTCAGAGCTTAAGTAATCATCCCTCCCTAGGCATCAACGCAAGAGAGCCTAATGCCGTTTTCCCATCACGATTATTCGTCGTTGAAACACATATTCAGCTGGCGCTTAACTTGCACTTTAACACAAGCCTTAATTATGGGCCGGTTCATGCGTGGTTGGCGATAAGAGGGGACTCGAGTCTTTGACTGCCCGTTTGTATTGAGGTTCCCGTGGTTCGAGGAGGAACCGAGGGCCCGCGGGATCCCAGAAGGGGAAATAATCGAACCCCCACGTTGCATCAACCGCTGCGAGCAGCGGACATCCCAGTTGTCCGCCTGGGAACCCCCCGTCATCTGGTCAACTCCCGAACCTCACTTGAGGTTGCACCGGCAAACATCTACCCTCCTGTGTGGTGACATTGAACCATACAAATCAAGGAACGCGTGAAAGAGACAACAAGAAATGACAAACTAACTTGAGTCACATCTCCAAGTTGAATATTACTTTGAACCAGATGATATTCAATCGAGTTCTGCCCAGCCAGAAGTGGCAAGCATGGGTATTTGTATCACGCGAAACAAGAGAACCAACAAAACACCAAACCAACAGAAACGAAAACCAACACAACCTTAATTGAACCTCTTTGACCAAGAATTGACTCCACAACCTTGATGATTTCAATGCGCCACATTGTAGATTTTCGTAGTCTTTTTCGATGTGGTGATGTTTTCTCAGCTTTTCAGCATCAATATGTGGTTCTGAAACTACAATCCATACAATATCTATACCATGGAAAAACCACATGAAAAACCTCAACCGGAACAAAATACCCAAATACCTGTGGTGATCAGCATACTAGGCAGACTCGGCTCAGGTAAAGGCACGCAATGCCGCCTTCTCTCTCAGAAATTCAACCTCTCGCACATCAGCATCGGCGACATCCTTCGCGAGGAGATGGAGCGCGGGGAAGAAAGCCCCCACGCAGACATCATCAGAGCCAACATGCTTGCAGGCACAATAGGTCCGATTGAAATCACCATGGCCATTCTCAAAGACCGAATCACGAAGTTGATGGAGGGTGGCACAAGAGTGTTCATTTTAGATGGTAAGCCGCTTCTGCAACCCCCCGGGAATTCTGTAACACAGAAGGTGACCCAAACCCAAACCGAAAGGATTCCCAAGATCAATAGAACAATCAACGCACTTCCAAACCTTCATCGGCCCAATAACCTCCCTCCTCGTACTTCAATGCTCTTCAGAAACAAGCTTCCATCGCCTCCTCCCCCGCGGCCGATTCGACGACTAGATGCAAGCAATCCGAAACCGCCTCCTCACCTCCGAAACCACAACCTCCCTCGTGGTAGACGACTTCCGCAAGCACGAAAAGCTGACCGTCGTCGACGCGGAGCCATCCGTCGCGAAAATCCACGAGGAACTAGTCACGATAGTCTCTAGCGTCGCTGAGCTCCTGCATTAGCGCCGCGCTGCTGCTGCTGCTGCTGCACAATTGAGATTGTTTGTGTGTTTTATGTATGGCACTGTTGTGATCTGCAATGTCGTGTTTTGCAGTAGGATAGCATCTGCCCAGTCAATGGCATCGAACTTTATGTACGCTCAGTCTTAATCTTGCACTTCCTTGCGCTCTTAGCTCGTTTTCACGTATACACTAGCTAGTTTGACTAGGGTGGCAGGACTGGGAGAGTCGAGACCACGCGCAAAGTGCCTATCAGGCTGTCACTGAGCGATGAATATTCTTTTTCAAGCAAACATTTGTAATGTGCATTAATATGCATTAGATCATTCTATTTTTGATGATATTATAGCATTCTGAAGTAAACCCGTTCAATCCAATTCCTGCGCTTGTGGTACCTTGAAACTCCAATTCATAATCATCACTGATAGATGTGTTTACTGCTTAGCAGTCTCGCCCTCGACCTCAACCGCGTTGATTCTTGACGCCTTCTTCTTCTTGTCCTTGAGGGCCTTGCGGCCGGAAACGGGTGTGATCTGGGGAGGCGGGACAGGTGCTACCAGGGGAACTGTAGCGACGGGGACCGCAGGAGCAGGAGCGGGGGCAACAGCGGGAGGAGCAGCGACTGCGGGCGCCGGCTGAGGAGCCGGAACGGGAGCAGGAGATCCAGCCTGGGGAACAGCGCCGTTAGGGTCAGCAGCCGGGACAGCGGCGGCAGGAGGTTGAGGAGCTTGATCGGGCCACGCTGGCGCGGCAGCAGGAGGGGCCGGAGCAGCTGCAGGAGGAGCAGGGACGGCGGCCGGGGGTGCAGGAACAGCAGCGGCAGGAGGAGCAGCAGCAGGAGGAACTGCGATAGGGATGGCGTTGGGGTTGGCAGGCGTAGCAGGAGGAGGAGCAACAGCCGGGACAGCAGCGACGGCGGGCTCAGAGTAAATTGCGATTGCCTGGTCCATCACGGACTCGATCTGAGCCCTGCCCTCAGCCGCGATTCTCTGCCCGACTCTGGGAACCTTTTCCTCAAGCGCGGCAGTCAATGCCATGCTGGAAATCTTCTGCCTCTGGAGGGACTCCAATGCAACACCACTGACGCCAAGGTTGTCAAGAACAGGCTTGCGGGAGACTAGGTCGTTCACGGTGACAGTCGTCTGATCGATGAGAGCGTCGGTAGTGCGGCGAAGCCTGGCAGCTCTGAAGGCACTAAGGTCACCAGCAGACTGGATGTCGACTGTGGCCTGGTCGGTAGCCACCTGGGCTTGCTGAGAGAAGATGAGGAGGTTGTTTGCCGTGACTGGGCCACCATCCAAAGAGAGGACTGCAGCATCGACGTTGGCAAGGGATTCGGAGACGGGAGCCAGAGCACGCTCGATGGTGTCAAGATCACCTGCAGCTCTCTCCTCGATCTGGATGATTCGGATAGGCTGGAGAGGTGCGGCAGTGATGATGGCCGCCTGGGCGAAGAGAGCAAGGGTCAGGCGCATGGTGACCATTTTGATGTGAAGATAACAGACGAAGGGTCTGAAGGTTTTCGAAGAAAGTATTGAGGCTTTGGGAATAACCAAGCTATCGTTCTTAAGATCCTTGTCTGATGCTCCAAAAAGACGTTCTCTTCCGGTGGGATATCGAATAGTTTTATAAGCTTTGGCAACCAGCCTGTGGTGATCGAAGCTCAGATCACATCCAGGACCAACATGGGAAGATGGGCCTTCGTTAGCTCCCGTCTGCGCCTGGAACGTGGAATCGTGAGACACATCCGTACCGTGAGGACGTCAGTGGTCCTTGAGCTTGCAGTAGCTCACAACCTGAGAACGCTGTCTCCAGGCTGGGAAGCAGCCTTCGCGACTCCAGCATCTGCGTCCCCGACGCAAGGATCCTCTGGATACAGACCACAAAAGTCTGTGTTGACGTCCGTGATTCTCGGCCGGGAAGTACTGGTCTGCAGCCATTACCCACTTTTGACAGCCTGACAGGTACAAGACAGCTAAACGGTCGTGAACCGGCGGCCGAAAGGAGGATTAAGCTTCTGTAGCTAAGAAACCCCTGAGCCGTGCGCGCAACTCGGTGCAGGAAGGGAAGGCAAGGTCCCGATGCAACAGGGATGAGGTCCTGGCGTCGCGGCGACAGCTGGGCTGCAGGAGCCATGAAACGGACCGCACCATGTTGACAGCGGCGACGACATCGAGGCCTGTGGAGCTCGGGGAGACTCTTAAGTGCCTCAAGAGGAGACACTCCGGGACGCAGCCGTCAAGTACCACATGAGACGAACGACAAGAGACACCAAGCTGTTGTCGAAATGTGGCCAATGCCAGTTGACCGGGGACGCAAGGTGAATGCTCGGACGTGTTTCGTGGACACACAATTTTGACGAATGCTGTCGATGAATTTGGTGTCGCGCGCATGTATCGCTGCGCCTCCTCATCCCTGGCCGACAAGATCTCTCCACTTTCCAAGCCCATTGGTTGTGCATCAAGAATATCCGAACTTTTTGACGTCGGCGGGACGTCCCCGCAAACTCCTTGAATGAGGCTCTACTAGGGTGGCCGGATAGCTCCGTACGTGAATTCGGTGGTCAACGTCTGGGTCCACGACACGAAAACGACACTGCCGTTTGATGGACATAGCTTTCCGGTCCCTGCCTAAGAATCAAAGCTTCGTTCGGTCAGCCTGGTCATGTCAACCGTCATCCATGATCCATACACGACGAACCATGAACCCAGTGTTGAATCAGACCACGTGCTGTCCTTCTGGTGGGAAAAGGCACGCGACCGGTTCCATCTAATAGCCTCTCAGTGTCACATTAGCGATCATGGCTTCAACATTTCCCTGGTGAAATAAGCCTTCAAGGGTGCTAAGGACAAACCTTGAGGCTAAAATGCATTTGCATATAAGCATTGCATATTCCTTCTGCAGCTGCCAGAAATGACAAATTCTGACAGCTTGCCACCTTGCGTATTCTTGTTGAGATGTCCCATTTCGCGCATGATGCATGCAGGAAACATTCACTCGTTGACGAGCTTCCTAGACGGTCACCGAGAAGCTGATCTATAGGGTGACGAAAAACAATACGAATCCTTTGATGAGTCAGACCGATTGTGTTCCAAACCAACACCTGGATAGGAACCCCCCCGCCGAAGAACCCCGCATAATAGGCACCCGGCGTGGTCTGTACAGGTGTACAAGTACAGGCGTGGTCTTCGCCGCGACAAAAAGTTCGAGTAGGTACGTCGCTCCAACTTCAACAAAGACTATTCGGAAGCGCAGCATATCAGGAAACATGCCAATCGAAATTCAGCCGGTGTTGGAGAGCGATCTTCGGCGGTGCGCCGAGATTGAGAAACTGGCGTTCTCGGGGAGCCCACTTGATCCAGTCCTATTCCCCGGACCCATGCCGGAGGATATGATGGGGATTCGAGCTGAAGAACTGGCCAAACAGTTTCGAGAGGACACAACCGTGCGCTTCCACAAAGCGGTGGACACGGATCTCTCTGGCGACGAGGCGATTATTGCTTGGAGCAAGTGGAATGCGTACTCGGAGGGGCTGCCGGTGCCAAAACCACGTGTCTGGGGACCTGGTTGCAACGAAGAGGCGTGTAACAAGTTGTTCCATGGCTTGGACGAGATGCGCCAGCGTTTGATGGGTGGCAAGAAGGTCGTCTGTAAGTGGCGGATATGGCACATTTGATGCGTGTGTGGCGGAGGTGAATGACAGCTAACGCAGGCGACAGATCTGCATATCTTGGTGACGGACCCAAAGCACCAAAGACGGGGAGCAGGGTGGCAGTTGATGACACCCATAGTGCAGGAAGCTGTTCGATTGGGCGTTCCGGCATATCTCGAGTCTTCGAGAGCTGGCCATCATCTATACCAAAAGGTTGGGTTCAAGGATATCGACGAGTACTTGATCGACTTTAGCCAGTATGGCTTGGAGCAGCCTCACATCAACTGGGCGATGCTCTGGGAGCTTCCCAATCGGCGATGTCCATGAGCGGCCGGTTGAACGGTGAATATCCGATGTTGGACATCTCAGACGGAGGGGATGAACCAACGGCGACCCGAAAGATGAATCCTTCTGATAGTGATCTCATGGAACTATGACAAAGTCCGAAGAGGGTGGTTTGATAGGCGAGGTTGGCCGGAGAGCGACACATCCGTAGTTTAAGGTATTAATTTGCTGTTCTGAAGAAACAAATGCACTGCAGCCCTGCTTGGCCTCCCCGATAGAATGTGCAAGGACCTCTCGGCGGCGGAAACACTGTAGATGTCACTGTCCGGCTGCACACTTTGGCCGGGCATCCGGACAGTGTGGATTACATAAGAAACACCACGCCAGACTCCCGCCTTCCATCTCAGGTTACCCAAAGTTCCTTTTAGTGAGGTGCAGCACTGCAGTGACAGACAGTAGAAGGTCGGGCGGCGGCATGTGGCCCCTGCACCTACGGGCAGCCGAAGCTCACGGCCCCACCTTCCTCTCGCTGTCAGCGCTGGAATTGATGATGAAATCGAACCTGCCGTTCACTGCTGCTTTGGAGGGGCCCGGACCTGCACTGCTAAACTCCGACGTCAGGAAGAGCACCGACTGAATCGAAACTCTTCCCCCACGACGTCTCTTTTGTCCATGGCTGCCATCGCGTGGGATCAGAGCTCCTACCTGACATAGCTGCAGCTCACACCTCACAGACCGGCACCATGTCGTACATCGCGCCCATCCATAGACCAAGCAGCATCCGCCAGGCCATCAGGATACGCCTGTCTGAGGAAGATGAAAGCGAGAGCTTGGTGGTAGCGTGAGTCTGCTCCCCTGCCGTACTGCCCCTCCCTACCTTCACATTTTACCCATTTCCAGCTTGCCGTACCCAAGAAGAGAGGCGAACTTGGACTTTTATCGCCTCATACTGACAAGCTCCAAGACGATCAAACAGACTCGAAGTATGGCGCATCACGCCCACCGATATGTACCTGCTCGGCTCTGCCGCAGTCTACGGCACCATCCTCCTCCTCCAGCGCCTGCGACCTAGGGACAGTAAAGCTGACCTGCTCTTCGTCGGTACCGATCGATTCCAATACTTTACGGCAAGATGGGACTCTGCCACACAGAGGCTACACACGGAGCAGGTCGTAGAGGATACCGCCGAGCCTCACATGCGCGAAGCTCAGAGCCAGGACAAGTGCCTAGTCGATCCGACAGGCAGGTTCATGGCTATGCACTTATGGGAGGGTGTCATGAACGTCATGCGCTTGGGGACTAGGAAAGGACAGCTCGCTCGCCTTGACGATGCATGGGAACAAGTCCGCCTCTCCGAGCTCTTCATGAAGGCGAGCATCTTTGTGCCCACCGAGACTGGTCATCCCACCGTCGCCTTCTTATACCAGTCCAAGATCGATAAAGAGGACGCGCGACTCGCCATATACAGACTCATGACGGACGATAAGAACACAGCTGTCTCGAGGTTCGACCCAGAACGCAATAGAGATCTCGACATTGAGATCAAAGACCCTTATGCCCGTATCCTCATTCCTGTGAACATCATCGAGGATGAAGTTAAGCGATACCACAAAAGAGACACTTCAGCGGCCAAGGCACAACTGGGTGGCTTGATTGTCGTTGGCGAAACTCTGCTGGTTTACGTCGATACCTTGACGCAGTCTGTCGTGGAAAGTCCAATGGCAAGTCCCGCCATATTCGTGGCATGGGCTGCCTATGATGACACAAACTTTTTCCTTTCTGATGACTATGGCAATCTCCATCTTCTGACGATTGAGACCGAGGGTGTTGTTGTTCTCGGAATGACTGTCAGAACACTTGGAGTAACGTCTCGCGCATCGTGTCTAGTGTATATGGGAGACGGCATGCTTTTCCTGGGCTCTCACTACGGCGACTCGCAACTACTACAGGTGGATCTCGAAGAATTGTCGACGAAGCTTGTGCAGACCATTCCCAATATTGCACCTATCCTCGACTTCGCGATCATGGATTTGGGAAACGCTGGAGACAGCCAGATTGGCAACGCCTTCTCGTCAGGCCAAGCTCGCATCGTCGCCGGCTGTGGTGTGCATCAAAACGGCAGTCTACGGAGTATTCGAAGCAGTGTCGGACTGGAAGATATTGGTGTTCTGGAAGACCTGCAGGATGCCCGAGGTCTCTTCAGTCTACAGTCGCACGGCTCTGAAAAAGTTGACACTCTCGTGGTTTCTTTCATGACGGAAACCAGAGTTTTCAGCTTTGATGCCGAGGGTGGTATTGAAGAAGTGTTTGAGTTTCACGGGCTCAATTTGGACCAGCCTACTCTGATCGCAAAAACATTGCCCAGTGGTCAATTACTTCAGGTCACCGCAGCAATCGTGACTCTGCTCGATCTGGAGAGCGGCGTTACTCTGAACAGTTGGTCGGTACCAGACGGCAAGACCATCGTCAATGCCTCTGCCAACAGCAAATGGGTTTTGCTGTCTATCAACGGCACCTCTCTGGTATCATTGAACTTGGTCGATAACTTGGCAGCTCAAGAGCAAGTCTTGGGCCTCGGCGTTGGGGGCGAGGAAGACCAGATTTCTTGCGTACATGCAGCCAGCGATCTCGACCATGTCGGCGTGGTAGGTTTCTGGGCAACGGGTTCTGTGTCCATAATTGACCTCCGCACGCTCAACGCTCTTCAGGGTGAAACCATTAAGCAAACCGATGACAGCGTCTCGGTTCCTAGAGACATGGTTCTTGTGCAACTGCACCCACCACACCTTCTCGGCCCAACGCTGTTCGTCGCTATGGAAGATGGTCAGGTTGTGTCGTTCAACGTGTCGAAAGATGACTTCTCCTTGTCAAGTCGCAAAAGCGTCACCTTGGGTAGCAAACAAGCTGGGCTACACGTTCTTCCGAGACCAGACGACGAAGGCATCAGCAATGTGTTTGCTACGACCGAGCACTCTAGTCTGATCTACAGCTCAGAAGGGAGAATCATCTACTCTGCGGCAACTGCAGAAGACGTGACCTATATCGCGCCCTTCGACTCTGAAGCCTTCCCAGATGCCATCTTCCTCGCCACGGATCGTAACGTACGGATCGCCCACATCGATGCTGAAAGGAGAACGCATGTCAACCCCCTTCCTCTACGCGAGACGGTTCGAAGAGTGGCTTATTCGCCAGCACTCCGTGCTTTTGGCATAGGCACCATTCGTAGAGAACTCATCAACAATGAAGAGGCGGTATCAAGCTCATTCCAGCTGGTTGACGAGGTGGTTCTTGGCGTTGTTGGCAAGGCATTCCACCTGGATGGCTCCACGTCAGCCGAAATGGTCGAAAGCGTCATTAGAGCAGAGTTGCCCGACAGTATGGGGCAGCCTGCCGAACGATTCATTATCGGAACAAGTTATCTGGCAGATCCGGAGGTTGATGAGAACAGCGATATCAAGGGACGGATTCTGGTGTTGGGCGTTGATTCTGACAAGAACCCCTATTTGATAGTCAGCCACGCGCTGAAGGGCGCGTGTCGCAGTCTTGGAGTAATGGGCGACAAGATTGTCGCTGGATTAAGCAAGACGGTAGTGGTCTACGATTACGACGAAGAGTCGAGCACATCTGGAGCACTCCGCAAGCTGGCTACTTTCCGCCCTTCAACATTCCCGGTTGACATTGATGTCAATGGCAACATGATTGGGGTCGCTGATCTTATGCAATCGATGACCCTAGTCGAGTTCATCCCGGCACAAGATGGGGACAAAGCCAAGCTTATAGAGCGCGCTCGTCACTTTCAGTACATTTGGGCCACGTCAGTATGTCACTTGGAAGAGCATTCGTGGCTCGAGTCCGATGCGCAAGGCAATCTCATGGTACTACGGAGGAACCCCAACGCGCCGACAGAGCACGACCAGAAGCAGATGGAAGTCATCAGTGAATTTCACCTCGGAGAGCAAGTGAACAAGATCCGATCACTCGACATTGTTCCGAATGAGAACGACCCGATCGTGCCAAAGGCGTTCCTCGCAACAGTAAGTGGACTGCCACCCGGTCATGCTAAACGGTTGCTAACATTGTCTAGGTTGAAGGATCGGTGTATGTCTTTGCCGACATTAGACCAGAGCACCAAAGTCTACTATTGCAATTCCAAGAGAACTTGGCCGGAGTGGTCAAGACACTGGGTCAAGCTGACAACGCGCCGGGTGCCGGGCTCTCATTCATGTCATGGCGAGGTTTCCGGAACGCAAAGCGCGCGGCAGATGCGCCCTTCCGCTTTGTTGATGGGGAGCTGATTGAGCGGTTTTTAGACTTGGATGAGGCTAAACAGGAGGCCGTCGTTGCAGGACTTGGGCCAACGGTTGAGAATATGCGCAACTTGGTAGAAGAGTTGAAGCGCATGCATTAAAGCAGCATAGGATGATGTAGGATATTTAGAAATGGGGAGTTGGGCGAATGGACTTGAAATGAATGACGCCCACGGCTAAACGTAAAAGACGGTGCAAAGCAAGACATTTCCTAGATTATGAAAGAGGTTCTATCCTCTTGCCTCACAAATTGATGTTGTGGAAGACATACAAATCATGATCCACTATCTGGGGATGAAAAAGATAGAAATTTGTCTCCATGTTGATTTTCCTAATGGGGGATTTGCATCTATCCACATCGTCGCAGTCATCACTCGTGCCACTCCGGAAAGGGCCGGGTCCCAGCTGTACCCACCAACCAATCAACAAGCACCAATTTCAGAACCTTCTGCCTGAGGCGACTAGCCAGAAAGCTTTCGGCAATCCTCAAACCACGGGCATCACGAAAAAAGACGCTCTCCTGCTAAACGTCATCCCTCTCCCCAATTGCATCTCGCAACAACCTCTTGCCGCCGCAAACCCTCTCCTCTCCTCCTCCGATTTACGAGATGGCGCCCCTCGCACACGTTTCCCGCACCTGCCTGCGGCAAATCGCGCGCACCAGCCCGTCGACGGCTGCGCGCGCGCTCAGCACCTCGGCCGCCCGGAACGACTCGACCGCCACGAGCTACTCGAGCCCCTTCAAGGGCGCCCAGAAGGGCAGCAGCATCCCCGACTTCAGCAAGTACATGAGCAAGGGCTCTGCCGGTACCAACCAGCTTTTCGGATACTTCATGGTCGGCACCATGGGCGCCATCACCGCCGCCGGCGCGAAGTCCACCGTCCAGGGTAGGGAATTACCTCCTTCCGTTGCCCCGAAATGAAAAAACATACCGAAACCGAGATTTTGCAAAACGATACGGAACAATGGGAAGGGCGGAAAACAGAACCAAAAGGAAATAATGGCTGACGGATTGGTGTCAATTGCAGAATTCCTCGTCAACATGTCCGCTTCTGCCGACGTTTTGGCCATGGCCAAGGTTGAAGTTGACCTCAGCACCATCCCTGAGGGCAAGAACGTGAGTTGGCTCGATTGAAAAGCCGGGCGGCGGCACGCAACATTGAGACGGCCGTACTGAAATTTCTGGACGACAGGTCATTATCAAGTGGAGAGGCAAGCCCGTCTTCATCCGCCACCGTACCCAGTCCGAGATCGACGAGGCCAACAAGGTCTCCGTTTCCTCCCTCCGTGACCCCCAGAAGGACGACGACCGTGTCAAGACCCCCGAATGGCTCATCATGTTGGGTACGTATCTTTTGACGACAACCGATTCAATTGTTTTGGTGGCGAGATTTTGCGGCCTTTCAGCAGCTAGTGCCGGAGACCCAGGATCGAATTCTTTCCAGCAACCGCATACCAAAACACAATCCCCGCATCGGCACACGTGAGCTAACGATTCGTCTCCTAGGTGTCTGCACACACTTGGGATGTGTCCCCATTGGCGAGGCCGGTGACTTTGGCGGTTGGTTCTGCCCCTGCCACGGCTCCCACTACGATATTTCCGGCCGTATTAGAAAGGGACCCGCTCCCCTCAACCTCGAGATCCCCGAGTACGACTTCCCCGAGGAGGGCAAGCTGGTCATTGGTTAAGCGGGATCACCTGTATGAGTATTTAAGACGAACGGCAGCGGGAGAGAGAGTACGAAAGGAGGTCAGAAACCCCCCTCCACTCCTTCGAGGGATGCGGGAGGGCTATTGGCCGAAATGATGGCAACAACAAACTACTAGAACAACATTTTCTTTTGCATCGGAGACCGAGCTGGTGCTGGTTTGGGTTCCCACAAAGACGAGAGAGAGGTGTCCATTTTCTTTTTTCTTAGACGTGTCCCTAGGGCAATAATGCCAAATGTACAAAAGTCAATGAGCGTCCAGGAACAAGCAAGTCTTCGCAACTTTTACAACATGCAGGTGTTGGCCAGGTAAATGTGATGTTGCAGGTAGCTGATATCAGAGAAGAAGCCGAGGCAACGAAAGAGTCACGAAATCATGATTCGAAATACCAATACCCCGGCACGAAAATGCAGAGACGACGTCGCAGTCATCGGCCGGAGGTCTTCTTCTTATGAGAGTTTGGATATTTTACGGTTCGGAACAAATGTGACGGGGGGTCGATCAGACTGGGCCGCGCTCATGTGACAAGTCAACGTTGGTTCGGAGCGAGGATCCCGGGTGTGACTGGACTGAGAGCCGGCGTCCCACTATCGAGACTGTCATTTCATAGCACATTCGATTCCCGCGGGGATGGATGCCACACCTTTTCGGCAGATAGCGGTCTGGGCATTTCCGGGGACGGGATACATCGTACGGCGCATGATGAACAATGCCTTGCCCTCAGTTGAGGGTGGGATGACTGTCTGATCATTGACCTGGGGGCTCACGCTGGACTTTTGTTATGGTATGTGGTGACCACGGCAGGGACTGACAAGGCATGACGTGGAGAGGACGATTCGTCTGCATTCAAGTTTTGCATCAAAGTTCAAGAGATAGATACTAGGTGACGGTTTCCCCGCCAGACGCTTAGATGGGCATATAACCTCGCAGTCAATATCAAGGAAAAGGGAAGACCGATTCATATTCGAACTTTCAAAGACTCGGGTGCCGCCATCGGTCATTGACTCTGGTCCGGTTGAACCTTGAGAGCAGGTGGCATAAACAGATCGACGTGTTTTGCCGACTTGATGAGATGACACTTTTCGCCAGGCATTAATCGGACAGAACATCCGGCGATGATGCCCAGCAAAGAGTACTAAGCTTAGGTAGATCTAGGCGCCATCCAAAGTTCAGGCCACGATAAAATATGGGACGGCAGGTTGTTGATCGATCTTGGTGTCGCAAAGTCCGACTTGGAAGCGATAACAATAACAACCTATTCCCTTGGCAAGCGAGCAAGGGTAACAACGACAGAAGTCGAAAAAGTTGGCAGGTTGAAGTTGGACTGGGGCCCGTTACCCCCGGCCCAAGCCCCTGCGGCTCCGAGTCCCCACACCTCTGCCAAACAGAACGTGGTTGAGCCAATGAGGCCACACAGAAAGACGGCAGGAAAAGAGTGGATGAGACGCTGTTCCGCGACGGGTGCCGTCTGATTTGCAAGATCCTCAAACTCTGCTCAACTTCAGCATCCCCCTCCAAGGACAGGGGGTCGGTGGAGGTCGATTGGGGGCAGCCGGGACCATCTCTTGGACGACGATCTGGCGATGAGGCTCCTTTTGAGTTTGATATCGGATATGGCAGAGGCGGATGCCGAGTGAGGTTGGCCGGAAGAGCGGTACCGAAATTCATCGAGTGATGGGTTTGGTTATGCGGCTTTCGGCAGAGGGAGAAGTTCTACCACGACGGCCGATGGACTCGAGCGCATCCTCCAGCTTGAGTCGGATCGAGACCTGGGCAGCATTATCAATCGCATTCATTGAGTTGCCTCCACCGAGACAGTGGCAGAGAATGAGGCCCGGTTATTCTTATCTCCTCTACCCCTTGCCAATTCTCTTCGACAGTCCCGTCACTTCTACGCAGCAGTCCTACTCGAGTCTCGGCCCAGTTCCCGAAACAGATCGAGCCGTACGCTACCATGGACCATGAGCCGCATGGCACGCCGCCCCGTCTCTCCGGAACGGGATGAACTCTTGGCTCGCACACGTCGAACGGTCGTCACGTCTCCTGTCTCCATTCTAGTCACCATTGTAGTGCCAAACCGTATCGGCCTGCGGCCCAGCCGACGGTTCCCCTTACTCCACCCCAGCGCCTCCGTTCTGGGTTCTCTTGTTGACGATTCCGCCAAGCAAGGCCGCATCATCGAGCCCGGCAGCGCTTACCGTACCAACGTCACGTTGATCGACGGGCTGGCTTTCCCAAGCGGGTTGCCCAGGGGGAGGATTCAACGTCGCGGCCATGAGACGAACCCAAGATGGTGGTGGGCTCTGAGACTTGTCCACCCCTCCCCTGGCGTAGATGATGGGGATGCCGCGAGTATGTTGTATATAACTCGGCGCCTGCTCTTCTTGCTCAACCGTTGGAGAGAGAGAGATTATTTTCTGTCTTTATGCCATCACCGTTTTCCTTCTCTTTCGTTCAGTTCTGGAAACTTTCTGTATTTCTATCAAATCTTCATTCTTTTCATTTCTTCAACTAGGCTCTTTGTCCATTAAGTGTTCTCTTGGGCCGGCCCTTCTTTTGAACATTTTAAATCTTTAGTATACACTCTACCTTCTCGAACAAAATCCGAAAACGAGAGTCTCCTTCGAAACCTTCGCAACAATGAAGTTCCAAACCTCCACCGCCCTCGCGGCCCTCGTCGCCTTCGCCTCCGCAGAAGTGCCCCAAGAGCACTCCCACGAGAAGTACCTCCGCGCCGTCAACGCCCTCCTGAAGCAAGACAACCCAAACAACATCCAAGACGCAGTCTTCGGCCTCCTCGGCAACGCCGCCGCCGCCGCGGGCGCGGGCGACGTGACCAACCTCGACTGCCTGCACCAGACGACGGCCGACTCGGCCTTTACCACGGCCAAGGCCGCAGGCGACGTCGACGGCATGGCCAGCGCGCTCGTCTTCCGCGCCGTGGAGCGTAACACGGGCAAAGTCGGGCTCAAGAGCGTGCTGTGCAGCGAGACAGCCGCGAACCCCGAGATTGCGGCGCTGAGCCAGCATCAGGATCCGGCTTCGGATGGGGCAGCTAAGACGAATAAGGCTATCACGTTGGAGTTGGCCAAGCAGCTTTCTGCTATTGGGGCTGATCCGCAGCTTGCGCTTGATGCCGGTACCTTCGAGCCTGGTGATGTAAGTCCTTTCCCGCGATAAGGTGCAGGCTCTTAGGATAAGAAGACTAACGTGTAGACAGGTCAACGACAACACCGGAGCCGGTAACACCTGCGACGATGCCAATGATACGGAGGGATGCATCTTTAGCCAGAACCTCATTGTCAAGGACGCCACCCCAGAGGAGATTGATGCCGCTGTTGCTGGAGGTGCCGGCAACGCCAAGTCCGGCGGGACCAACTCAACCGGCAAAGCAAGCCGCTCACGCAACAAAAGCGTCCTGAGCCGTACCATCCTCTCCCAGCGCGATATCGAGGGCACCAGCGCCTCCGCCTCCGAGATGACCCGTCGCCAGTCCAAGAACAAGAACAAGAACAACAACAACGCCGACGCCAGCGCCAACAACAGCACCGCCGACGCAGCCACAGGCACGACGAACGTCCAAACCTTCACCGGCACCCTCGGCGGCCCCGCTCCGCCCGTGACCTCGGACCCCTCTGCCGACAAGCCCTTCTCCGTCAACGGCGCAACCTTCCTCAACGCAGGCGCGGCCCTCCAGCGCTCCTGCGCGGTCCAGCACAACGCCTGCGCCAACGCCGCGAACTCTGGCTCCGGCGACATTTCCGTCTCGGACTGCGACGCGCAGGAGGACGACTGCCTCGCGGCCTCGTCGCAGACCAAGCTCCGTCGCGCGTCGGGTCTGAACGCGCGCGGTGCGAGGAGGATGAGGATCGCGACGACGGCGCTGTTGAAGGGTCGCCAGGCGTTTGAGTTTGGCGAGTGCCAGGACCCGAGTATTGAGTTTGCTGAGGGTCTTGATGGGCGCAAGGAGGCTTCGTTTGCGCCCGCGGGTGACTTTGAGCACGGTAGTGCGTTGAACATTGGTGTGATTTCGGGGTTCATTTGTGGGCAGTTGGAGAGCCGGTGTCAGGCGGATGAGGCTGCTGTTGCGGCTTGTCAGCAGGGTGAGGCTGCTTCCAAGGGGCTGAAGGGGCAGGCTGCTGCTGATGCGTTCAACTCTGCTTTGGGACTTTGAGGGGTTGAATACTTAGGGTATGGTGTTGATCAATGAGAGGGAAGATGTGTATGTGTTGAAGAAGATGAGAATGCCATCGATGTTGGGATGACAGCTCCGGGTTGTTAGATGTGAGATGACTGATGAATCAATTTGCTTTGTTTAAAATCCGTGAGATAATCATGTTCACTCTGCCAATTACATCGAATTACTTTAGTTATACTCAAGAACGTGAAGCCAAGAAGTTATTTTTCACCTCTATCCGTTCTAGCTGGAAATTGATGAAGCTGTAGTCAACCCTGAGAAGCGCAATTACTGTAATGAAATTCGAAAAAATCCATGTGTCAGTGCAAAGCAACTATGCCAAAGTAAAATTCATTCTCCATCGTGGTTCCTGGATCAGCGGTCGCTGCCAATGAGAATCCAATCTTTCAGATGTGGACATTTTCATGCAGGCGTTTTCCTGGATCTCAGCTCCAATCTCACTCCACAATCCCCAAAAACGCCGCCAAACTCTGATTTTTTTCTCACTCACTAAGTCACACCAAAACTTTTAGCTTCAACACCCACACATTCGTACTCCCCAAACTTGAAGAAAGAGAGCGCTTCAGACATTTGCGCCCCCTGATTCATCATGGCCGAGTATAAGTATACTTCTCTCGGGGAGCGGGACTTTCGCGTCCTCTCCCTCGCAGCAGGCCGCTTCGACGACGCCCTCCAAGGCGATCTCATCACCCGCCCGATCGACATCTACGTCGAAGAGGCAAGCAAACACGAGAACGAGCTGCCCGAATCAGCCGAATCATATGAAGCCATCTCCTACGTCTGGGGTTCCAACGAGAAGCCCCACCACATCATCACCTCTGCCGGCGCAAAAATCCCCATCACGGAAAGCCTGTACCTCTGCCTCAAGCGCGTGCGTCTCGAAGACCGCGCCCGCCTCGTCTGGGCAGATGCGCTTTGCATCAACCAGACTGACAGCAAGGAGAAGGAGACGCAGATCATGCTCATGCACGACATCTATCTCAGCGCGCAGAGGGTCCTCGCCTACCTCGGTGAAGAGGCCGACGGCAGCAGCGAGGCGATGGAGCTCATCGAGCGGTACTGGCGCGTCCACATCCCCAACCCGCTGAACGCCGGCGCGCGCGCATTCGCAGAGGACCTTTTGGGTGCACCGATCCCCGATGCGCCGACAGGTGCTGGTGCGGAGCTGCCTCCCGTGGGCGCAGACAAGTGGTTGAGCGTCTCGCGGTTCTGGAACCGCGCTTGGTTCCGCAGGGTGTGGATCGTGCAGGAGTTTATCCTAGCGCGGGACGTGATGATGATGTGTGGTGAGAAGACTGTGAACTGGTCGCAGCTGTGGCCGGGCACAATTGCGCTCGAAGAGCCGGAGAACCCGCCCTGGCCGTTGGTGGATGCCAAGGGAGAGGAGATTGAGAGCGCGGCGGAGTTGATGGCGAATATGGCGCAGAGGTTGCGGTTCTATCAGCTTGGTGCTATGAGGGGAAACACGAGGTCTCATGAGCATGAAGGGGGGCACGAGCATGGTGGTGGATGCTGTGGTGGTGATGACCATGATGATGATGATGATGACCACCACGATCACGATCATGACCATGAACATGGCGATGATTGCGACCACGACCACGACCACGAAGAGGGAGCCGAAGGCGATGAAGGCGAATGGGAATCAGAAGATGACGACGAAGACGACGGCGGGAAGCGCTCAACAGACCTCCTCAACCTCCTCATGTCCTTCCGCGAAGTCGACGCAACAGACCCGCGCGACCTCTACTTCGCGCTCCTCGGTCTCGCCCTCGACGGCGACAGAGAAGAGTTCCGCCCGGATTACTCCGCCAACTTTGAGCAGACGGCCCTCCGCTTCGGCCGCACCCTCCTCCACGAGCCCTTCAGCGAGGAACTCCTCGACCACGCCGGCATCGCAGAGAAGCACAACGGCGCGACGGCAAACTTCCCCTCTTGGCTGCCTGACTTCCGTCGACCCTGGCGGCGCATGACAGTCGCGGACGCGGCTGAGTCCGAGGCCGCGGGCGAGACGGACTTTGATTTCGGCTTCGATCCGAATGCCGAGGAGGACGAGCTGCTTCTCAAGGGTATCAAGGTCGACACGATTGAGCACATGAGCGGCGTGCCGCGCGCGGCGCATCTGCATGCTGATCACCCGTCCCTGTGGGTGAAGCGCGATATGGTTACGCTCTCGCAGCTGCTGTCCAACATCTCCGGCTTCGAGGACTCAAAGTACCCGACAGGCGAGACCGGCCTCGAAGCCATCCTCCGCGCGCTGACTTTCTTCCGCACAGAGGGAGAGGGAAGCGAAGAGGACGAGATCCCGGCCACGACGCTGAAGCTGGCGTGGCGCTTCTGCACCGCCGTCGAGGAGGACGACCTCGACGCCGCGCGGCCGGAGCGGGATATCCTGCGGAAGGAGATCACGATGTCTGGTTGCACGGCGGAGGAAGCCAACGAGGCTCTGGAGGCGGCGGCGCAGGTGCTGATTAACCGTATCTTCCCGATGCGCGCGGCGCTGGATTTGGTGTTGGCCAAGGGCGGCAAGTATGTTGCCATGGTGCCGGAGGGGAGCGAGGCGGGCGACGAGGTGTGGGTTATGAAGGGGTGTAACGCGCCGTTCGTGTTGAGGAAGAGTGGTGAGAGGGAGGGGATGAGGAGGATTGTGGGCGCGGCGTACGTGTATGGTATCATGGATGGAGAGGCCGTTGAAGGAGTTGAGGAGTTTGAGGCTGTTTCTATTCATTGAGAGGGATGGAGGGATCGATTACAATGGTTGCTCATGGTGGGCTTCATGACAGTACGAAGGGGGCTCGGAGTCGGAAACAGAAAAAGGCCTTGGTGGATTGGTGCAATGCCGTACATAGATACTATGAAAGAAGGTAGGATAAAAGATTCCGTAGTTTAAAGTGAACACTTCGCGATCTGTTCAGATCTTTTCCTGTCATGGGATACCTTGATGGCCTCAGCGGGCAACTGATCCCGGAAAACATCAGGCAATCACGTTCGTGCGGTACTTCTATTAAGGTTGAATGTACTGGAAATTACTTCCAAAGATTGGGATGTATTCCTGAAACGTTTTTCTTGTACTGGAATATATATTGACCATGTACAAGGTAGCTTCTCTGTCTACTCAAATTTCATCAGCAATGTTCACATTTGACTGCTGAGGTTGGAATGCGGATTTGAAGGAGGGGTTACGCTCAGCCTGTCCCTAATCTCAGGGTACTCTTTGGAAGGCTATCAAATTTCAAAGCATGAAAAGTCAAGAGACTCGTCACCGTAACCGTTAAAAATGTTGCTGAACGACCAGCTTCTGAAGTGGTACAAGTCTACTCAGCGCCACCGAAGGACAGCATAGACAGTCAACCGTGGCCGAAGGCTCTACTTGGCTCCGAGAAGGTTCACTTGGGTTGAGGTGAGCGTAAGACAGTATAAACTAGGTTCAGAGAGATGGTGCGGCAATCTTTTGGAGATGAGAAGGGGTGAGCGAAGGTAGATACGATATCACAATCAGTGTACGTCTCAACAAGTTGTAGTCCTCGTGGTATCGTATGCAAGCTTGCATTGAACATTGCTGAAAGATTCACCTTCAGCCCTTGAAACCCTCAGGATAATATGAATAGGATATTCTTGCAGAGTTATGATCTGATGCCTTGCCACAAATAACAGCACGGTGATCGTCTCAGGTCGGATCTAGAGAGATTCTCTCTTAAGAAATCTCATCAGTATTGTTTCCGCCTGCTCTGTCCAGGACAATGTATCACGAAATGGAACTGAGGACGGATAAGTACTGATTATCTCTGTCTTTATGTACACACAAAAACGAGACTATGAAATAATTGAAGTGACGTAGACGGATTAGCTTATCGACAATTGAACATAATCATCGCATCGCTTAGTCTTGAATTGCTTGTCTGATGGATCACGGAGATGACATTTTGCAGTCCGAGTAATAGCTACGAAGGCTTTTGTCAAAGAAATGGTCATCATCAACAAGGCTGGTACATAGGTAATAGATGATGATGCACTGGAGAGAGGCATCCAAGAACTTCATAGTCTAGGCCTAGAGTCTACAAGTTTACCCCTCTAACATCGAATCTCTAGGCCTAGTGAGAGAAACAGACCATAAGCGCCATTCATAATCGCTTCCAGCGGTAGCAAACATAAAGCCAGTCTCCCTGCTTGGTCCTACAGCCGTTGACATCATGGAACCCATATGGACGTTCAGTCTGGCAATTGATCTGCCGGTTTCTATGTCCCAGAATCGCACACTCCTATCCGTGCTGGTGGTCAAAGCCCACCCATTGGACGTAACTTCTACGCCCATTACAGGGCCCTAAGTACGTAGTCAATTTCCAATATAAGTCGAATGCCAACGGTTTAACATACCAAGTGGCCCTCTAATGTTCTCAGACATTTCAGGGACTTTGACGAGTCGTCGCGTTGTTGGCTTACAGCCGAAAAAGCCTTCGCACATTTATCATAAGATGCTGTAATCATGTATTTGTCGTCAGAAGAGAATCGAACATCATAAATAGAGTCCGAATGGCCGTAGCACGTCCAAGTGTTGGCTTGGGTCTGGCCTTGTTCCAAAGGTTCTTCAACGTTTATTGCCGTGTCCGTTTTCCATACTCGCGCGAAATCTTCGAGAGTGGAAGCAACGAGAAAGTCACTTTGGTTCGAAAATGCCAACCCTATAACAACTTTTGGTAACTGAACAAGGTGCAAACACTCCCAGGTAGTGGTGCTCCAGAGTCGAACCGTGCAATCTGCACTCCCAGAAGCAAGAAGCTTGCCATTTTTTGACATGTTTACCTTGTAGACACCTTTCTCATGTCCGCCAAGCGTTTGGATGACACTTCGGGACTCGATGTCAAATACCTATAAGGCTTAAGATAAGCGTCGTGATGGGGAAGGCGCACTTATGCACGTTCGGAAGGACTGACCCGGATCAGTTTATCCTCTGAGCATGTAATGAACAAATTGCCGTTCGGATGAAAACAGGCGTCCCTGTAAAACATATCTTCATAATCCACCTCAACGATCAGCCCTACTATCTCTTCAGAGTGCAGGCTGCAAATGGGTTCTTCGCTTTCAATATTTAGAACTTGAAATATACGACCGCTGCATATTCCGACGTAATGTCCTTGCAGACTAAAACACACAGCGGTATCTGTGTCATCCAATTGACCCGTGCGTAGGAGGGTGAAGTCAAACATCTTCGGGATAGCAGGATTATGGACAATGAACCATCCATCTCCTCTGTCTTTGTGGCTGGGCGGTAATGATTCGAAAGTGACGATAGCCAGCTCATCGGGATAAACATTGCCACGCCTTTGCTTGTCTTGTAAAACGAAGAATAGAGAGATGGCAGCCAGTGTGCCCATTCTCTTGATCAGGACTTGCCAGCCACGCGATAAATGATCTTGGCCTAGTCGAAACGGAGTACCCTCTTGGGAATATCTCTCACCATCCGGGACAGCGCCTGCACTGTTCAAATCTCCGACTTCACCTGAGTAAAGTCGTGGGAGAGAAAAGAGAGAAAGCTGTACAAGATGATGGCCGACATGTTTTCGAAATGAATCTGCATCGACATAAACGTCAGCATTCTCAATTTCGTCCTTGATGTCAGTCTGCGTAGACGACCCGGCGTGCGGCTCAACGATAGCCCACTCGTCGTCACAGAATGGGCATTCGCTGGCCAAAATTTGCCTTGCTGGTCGCTTGCATTGGCTAATAAGCGACGAAAGCTGACTGGCCACTACATCGCTTTTATGATAGTTATGCATGTGTTCTTGCATATCCTCGGAGTTCTGAACCGTATTAGCGCACAATGGACATTCCCAAAACGTACGATGGGCTAGTAACTCGTGCTCAAACCAGGTATGAGCCGAATTAAAGGTATCCAAAGTACAGTTCTGGTCAAGGCACACGTATGGCTCCAAGTCATGGATGATGTGTTTCCTATATGAATATCAGTAATGATATCAACGGATCGGGCTCCGTAAACTTGCCGCCATTGCACTTCTTTGTTCTTCGTTTGCCAGAGAACAATTTCCAAGCAATACGGACACAAGAACGAATCGCTCTTCTGCCCCTCCTGAGGTATCGGCGGAAATTGAAGTTCTGCATCAGAAGCTTCCACAACTGTGGTCGCCATCGAGAAGACCGACATGGCAGGCTCTGGACTTTGAAATGCGAAAAATTGGGTCTCTGGTTCTTTGTTTCTCACGAATTCCGTGGCTTCAGTCTCCGCTAGAATGCTAGGCTTGGTCATAGCAGACACGATTGACCCTTGTGGGAGGGGTTCTCTATCAATTGGCTTGGGCTCGGCCTGTAGATGGGCGTCTCTTCTGCCCATGATTATGCCATCTTGTTGGGAAGCCAACTTTTCTTGATGTTGCTGACGATATTTGAAGTATTGTCTCCGCCGAGCATTTGCCTCCGCTAGACGTATTGCCAGAGGTTCGTTGGTTTCCCAGAGGATACTGTACTTATCTTTGATGTACATCAAATCAGCAGTGTTTACGAAAGGCTTCGTTTTGGAGGCTCGTTGGCGTCTGTCCTCGGGCGCGAATTTGCGGATGAATACTGAAGCTTTGAATAGGCTGTTGAGGCTTGTCCTGATTGCTGATAGAAGCTTCTGTATCTCCGAGGGTTTGCCGTTTCGACTATCCCGAGTGCTGTTCGAAGTAGTAGATGCGCCTGACTCAGAACTGCTGGAGGAAATATCGAATTCCTCCAATTCTTCATCAGTAATGTCCAATGTCGGCATGACTCTGTTAGGTCGACGGCCTGAGACGATCTCTGTAGCTATAAAGCACGCGTTAACATTTGGGAAACAAACTTCAAACTGGAACGTACCCATTTTGGCAGACTCGTTCAAGTCCTCAAGTATGCTGAAAATGGAGGCTCTGACCGTGGGACTATCGCGTAGGCGATGGTCGAGCGATAGCTTGGAGCTAGGCTGTCGAAGAGCGCCCAGGTTCCCAGCCCATTGCTCGAATCTTTCAAGCAGTTGCGCGAAGTCTCTTTCTGTGAGTTCATGCTCCCATGTGTTTCTGCTCTTTTCGAACTCCTGGGCAAGACTCGAGAGACTGTCGTAGCAGCGGCGTGCGGCTTGGGAAATCTCAGGGTCCGCCATTCTCAAAATCGCGTTTGAGTTCTCTTCGTAATCTTCCCGGCTGATCTCAGTTCCTAAGACGTTACTTGCGAAATGGTTGAAGGTTGATTGAGGTCATGAGGGGGCTTTTCGTTGGGACCGGAGTAGTCAGGGGAACCAACGTGCATCAGGGCGCGTATGCAAGATTCCATGCACATCTTCATTCTGATTTGTCCAGACCAACGTTTCCTCGGTATTCATTTCCAGAGCCTTATGATGACTCAGATTACCCCGCAGTAGACGATTGAAGATAAATCTCTCAGTGTTACGATGTTACTCGTTTTGAAAGATTGCCTGTGACCAACGGGAATGATTGTCGCGAGAAGCGCACACTTATCGCCGCCATGTCAGGATTCGAGATTGCTGGCGCTGTTCTAGGTGGCTTCCCAATTCTTCTCAACTGCATAGATTATTACCACAGAGCCCTTGAGCCGATGGACAATTGGTGGCACTTCCGAGATTATTTCATCCACTTTGTCGACGATATCAGGCACCAGAAAATGAAATATCATGATAATCTCATTCGACTTCTCAACCCTATCATTCCTGACAATGAGAGTCTTATGACCCTGATAGGAGACCCCACCGATGTGCGATGGAAGGACAGTAGCCTTGAGGACCATTTGAAGGACCGTTTCCCAAGTGAGCTGGACCGCTTCCTTCGAACCATCGAGAGGATGCACGAGGTGATGTTGGAGCTCTATAAGATTCTTCAAATTCAAGATGGAAAGGTTATTGTTTCCAGATTCCGTCAGCTCTATAGTTGTGACTGATCCCTCGTTGAATAGGCTCCTTGGCTAGGAACGGCACAACACAACCCAGTGCAGTGGTATTGCAAGCGGCTGCAGTTGAGCTTATCCAAAGGCAAACATAGAAAGGTGCAAAAGCTTGATCAACTCAACCAGACTCTGCGAGATATGGTGGGATTCAGTGAGCGCACTCTGCCGATATCTGATCGGAGAAAGAGTTCCGGCCCAGTACGCCGTCTGGAGAGCGCTCGCCAACACGCTTGCCGGGTGTATGAAACACTGAGAGATCACTGGAGATGCCACCAAGGTTGCAATTGCCACAAAGCACACTTGCGATTGTGCGGCGAATCTTCTCCCGAGACTTTATCCATGGTTCTTGTTTGGGGTACCGGGGACAGCACGGATTCCTCACTTAAGCCCAAGGCCTACGAGGTCATGATTCAAAATACTAAAGACCGGAACCCAGCCACATCGACAGACATCGGAGTTGTTCATGAATCGGCGACTTTATCTCACATCCAAAGCATTACGGAGCAAAAGACACAATATATCAAATCGAGGCCGTCATTCCTTGATAGGGTTTCTCACAGATTTCAACCTAAACCGGCTGCAATCACTGGCTCAAACCAATCAACCCCCACGAAGAATGTCAAGTTTTTGGAGCCGAGTCCAGCTATATGTATCACACCGTCCGAAAACGAAGCTGCTATGAAGAATGGCGGGGTTTCCCTTCCCTGTCGGACTAGTGACGAACGGTCCAGCAGGCAGAAAATCGAAAACCTTTGCGCCTTTTTGGAGGAGACATCATGGAACGAGGGCGTACTGCATGACGAGTTCGACAGGCACCTCATCTTCAATAAAGATTCATCAGGCTTGCGACGAATTATTCCCGGAAGATTGAGGCTTTTGTCTCTTACCGAGTTGCTAGAAGCACACCATCAAGCGGATATAACCCTCTCAAGGCAGTCACGGTTCGAGATAGCAGCCCACATATCGGCGGCCCTACTCAACACGTACCCCTCGCCTTGGATGCCTTCTTCATGGACGAAGAGCAGCTTCTACTTCCTTGTTGACGACGAGACGCTCTTGAGCTGTCATCCATTTTTATCAAACACATTCGAGCTCGACAAGGAAGATAGCCCGCCCACCGAAGAATCGATGTTCACGAAGAACATTTCGGAACAGGCAGCCCGCAACTACCTGTTTACTGTCGGCGTAATAGTTTTGGAGCTAATATTTGGGCATGACATCAGCCATTGCCGCTTCCGAAAAGATTATCTCCAGGACAACAGACCTAATGAGCTCACAGATATGCTTACTGCCCAACGGTGGGCGAAGAAGGTGCTAGGTGAAAGTGGACCGAATATTGCGGATGTTGTTAGGCGTTGTCTAGACTGTTCATTTGGCCCAAGGCCGGTATTATCAGACGTACGGTTTAGAGAGTCGATTTACGAAGGAGTCATCAAGCCTTTGGCATCATACGCTAAGATATGGCCCGAAGTGATGGTTTGATACAATCGAACGGTCAAGACCTTGTACCTGTACTCTAAATAGTTCAATCACCCCAGGCATGCTAGTAATGCCTCAGCCATTTTGAACGATCATCGTGCAGGCGTTAGACAATATATGTTGTATTGCTCGCGTTTGAAGGATTATCACAGAGGCAGCAACACATGTTTTAAAGTAGATAGGTCAAACAAAATTAGCTACAAGCTCCAATATGCAAGTCCGAAAACATACAGTCGCTCGATAGAGTCAAGACGATCCCAGTCTCGGCAGCTTGTGCATGTTGATGAGGCACTTTATACAACTGTAACGTCGAGAATGATAGGAGAGAAAGCCGTCATCAGACTTCTAACTGATAGCTCGACAGCTTTAGTTGTATGCCTGGGATACGTAGGTGGGAATAGCAAATCTTGGTTAAGTATTCGGGACGGCGCGGACATGAGGTTATGTGTGGGTCGCCCGATTCCGCTAACGGGGCCGACCGAGCGTACGGGTGGCTGGCGTTGTAGGCGTCATCGATGATTGTTCACAGCATCATCTAGTTCATCCCTGTTTCGCATGTTTCTCAAAGCGCTGTTGACTTTAAGTATCATTTAAAGTTGGAAATGCTTCAGGCCTTTACTCGTACATGCACTCCTGTGTACGCGAAATCTTATCTAGTTTTACGTGATACAACCTCACTTTCATACTTGTACCCGGCTCAGAGATTTCTGTCATACTCATCACACAAGATGCCTTCATCCAAGGGAAAGCCTACTGACCCCGAGTTGAGGGAGGAGATAAAGGAAGGTATGGATAGATGAGGGAGATGCATGGAAAGTTGCCAATGCTCACATCATGACCAGAGATTAAGCAAGAACCCAACAAGTCGGGCGGAGGAGAGGGACAATGGGCCGCATGGAAGGTACATCACCCCTCTTGCTCGATCCTCACGGCTCTATGCTTGGTTAAATTTCTATCTGAGTGGTCAACTGACTGATTACGTAGGGAGCGAAACTGGCAAAGGAGTACGAGAAGCAGGGCGGCGGCTATGAGAATGAGGCAGGGTCCAAGAATGAGCCGAAAAAGGGCGAGCCTGAGAAGAAGAGCGAGAGCAAAAAGAAGGCTGAGACTGATGACTAGTTAGTCAACATTTTCATAGTGTTTATTAATGTGAGCCCCCATTGATGTTTCGCAAGTCTTTACTTTGGTCGATTTCTTTTAATTCAGTGATGCTGAAGACATTGCTGTTCATCGCTGTTTTTGACGATGACATGAGCGGAAGGGCGTGATCGTGCCGCATTTCCGTAAGCTGTCTGATGGGGAAGGTGAGATGTCGAAGGATTCACTCGCACTCAAATCTGACTCTTCTCGCTTCTCTTCACCTCTCTACAGTCTCACCAACTTCAGGGGAAAGAGTCATTCTTTACGCGGTACCTAAGAGAACACAACATTGCCGCAGAATGCAGCATCTCACAGAAGACACCGACTCCCAAGACGAAGACGACTGCTGGACCCCCCTTCAAATCGCCGCCCGCGAAGGTAACCTTCCCTCTATCCACGCAGCCCTCGCCTCAGGAGCAGACGTCAACGCCCCGCCGCGGGGCTACTACGGCCGCACAGCCCTCCAAGCCGCCTGCGAAGCCTCCCACGGCGCCGTGGTCTCGGCGCTCCTCGCAGCCGGCGCGGAAGTCAACGACACGCCCGGCAACAACGGCGCCAAGAACGCGCTGCAGATCGCGGCAGGGAAGCCGGACCTGGCCATCGTCAAACTCCTGCTATCCCACGGCGCCGAGGTCAACGTCCCCGCGTCGCGGTACTTTGGCATGACGGCGCTGCAGAGCGCCTGTGCTGCAGGTCTAGACGACACCGTCGCGCTGCTGCTGGATCACGGCGCGGACGTGAACGCGCCGCCGGCGTCGACGGCAGGTCGGACGGCGCTCCAGGCAGCGTGCGAGGGCGGGTTCGAGGAGATGGCGGCGATGCTGATTCAGCGGCGGGGGGCAGAGGTGAACGCGCCGGCGTGTCGGAATCGAGGGTTCACGGCGCTGCAGGCGGCGAGCTACGGCGGGTGGGCGGGGCTTGTCGAGCTGCTCCTTACGGCGGGGCCAGCTGCAGGCGGTGCAGGTGCGGGGGCGGATGTCAACGCCGAAGGGAGCAGGTTCAAGGGGGGCAGGGCGCTGCATGCTGCTGCTGAGGGGGGCCACGTGCGGGTGTGCGAGACGCTGCTGGGCGCCGGGGCCGAGATCGAGGCTGGGGCTGGGGCTGGATGGGGGGGTAGAGGGCAGACTGCGTTGCAGTGCGCGGCTGCAAGGGGGCATGATGAGGTTGTGAGGTTGTTACGGAGCAGGGGGGCGACGGGAATGGAAGGTGGAGGGGTGACTTTGTTTGGTTGAGTTTATCATGTCGAGCACCGGTGGGAGGAACTATTGTGCATACAGGTTAATTAAGAGCGTGGATTGGGAGATAAGGCCATGTTCTAAAGATACGGGTGTTTTAGATGAGAACTTGATACCAGTCAATTGGAAGATATGAGTTCAATTGTCAGAGGAACAAGGTACAACTTCAGAGTCTCTGCAAGAGATCGAGAGATGGACAAATCAGACTGCAACGTGGCCCAAGAAAAGAGAAAAGGGAACTCTTCTGGCTGGGTGACTACTGTGTACTAAACTGCAATCATTGGTGGCGCATGAACACCGCAACCAACACCAAACTTTCCCACCATGACACAGGCCGCACAACCCATCTGTCAGAACATCAGCCAAGTCAGCCGACTCTCCCAAGACAAGGGAATCCCTCGCCTCGAACCGGTTCACGACCTTAGCGGTATCGTAGTATAAGTAGGTAGGTAAGTATCTACACAGTCGGTAAGAGGATGGTGCGGGCGTCACGGCCGCGTTCAACCGGGGCAATTCCGGCCCCGCCTACCATCGGCTTCCACCGGCCTCCGTGACTGCTTCACCCCGCCGGCGAGACCTGCCCGTTGCGCACTCCCCGGCCCAGGCGGAAGACTAAATAGGCACGTAGCCACAAACAATTACCTAAAAATGTGTCCCAGATTTCCCTGGCACAGTTCCTTAAGTCTCGACTATCCTTCGTCCGTACTTCTCAACAGTTGTATCACCTTCACAGCACATCCGCTAAGACGCTACCCCGTGACGTAAGACTTGGCTTTCACCACAATGAGCCGCTTCGCATTGTGGACCTGCTGACCATCTTTGGTATCCTGATTCCTGTGCCTTGGTGAGACGGAGGGGGGAGAAGAAGACGAAGAAGAGGGGGCTTCGAGGTCCTTTTTGTGCTTTTAGAATGCTTGTTGTGTATCGATCGAGGCTATCTGTACATCAGCTCACTCTCACACTAGGCTGTCTTTGCCAGTCCAGCCCCCTTGCCCTTTACCTCACGCCCCCTCCAATCCGTACCGTATCTCACATCTTTCGAACGAGGCGCTGTGATCCTGGAATACCTGGGGTTTGACTGGGTCTTCCCCGCCAACGCTTCCCATCGTCTGGTGGGGCACGTCTTGTGCGCAACGCAACGCCCGCGCCAGTACAAGCCAGACTCAAGGTACTTCCTGAAGCCGTCTGGAACACGAACCAAATTGATAAGAGGACGGCGCTTTGTCCCTTTTTTACTTTATCCTGTCCCAACCCCAGCTTCTGGAAGCTGAATCTGACTCTCTTCCTCCCATTTTCACATTCTGCAACTACCTTGCCTGCCTCTGCCTCTCTCATGTTTGTTCATGAGTGGTGTGACGTGATTGACCAGAAACAAACAAGACACCACCCACCATAATACACCCAGAAGCTATCTTGCCTACCTTGACACCGTAGACAAGAAGAAACACAAAATCAAGACAATTGTACACCGAGGCCACTCCAAGACCAGAAACGAGAATCAACACGCATCATGGGCTCAACCCACGAAACAGACCTGGTCCTCACCCAGCCAACCCCAGCAGAGCGCCTAAAAACCTACACCTCAACCTACGCAAACTGGGGCGCCGCCCTCGAGCTCCAAGAATACATCCGCCGCGAATCCTACATGACCACCGTCCCCGTCTCCCGCAACGGCGGCATCACCCAATGGATCCTCACCGACCCGACCTTACCCCCCGACGCCCGCCCCATCCTCTCCTCCTGCGAGAGCATCCGCAAGACCGTCCTCGTCGCGAAGCCGGACGGCACCGTCGTCGACGCCATCACCCACGCCGTCGGCTCCGTCTTCACGGACCCGGCGTACCGCGGCAACGGGTACGCTTCTGTGATGATGAACCTCGTGGGCGCGCGGCTCGCGCGCTGGCAGGGCGCCGAGATGAAGAGCGGTGAGCGGTGGGGGGATATTCGGGACGGGGAGGTCGCGTGCTCGGTGCTGTATTCTGATATCGGGAAGAAGTTTTATGCCAAGCATGGGTGGCATCCGTATGAGAGTACGCACCTCGAGTTCCCGCCGCAGGCATCGCCGCCACCCTCGGACGCGGGAGAGGGGGCGGTGGGAGCGGTGCAAGTTGAGGCCTCGCCGTTGGGGTACCATGAACTAGCAGAGCTGTGTTCGGTGGATGAGCGTCTCATCCGGGCGAAGCTCGCCAAGAAGAGCAGCAAGACCCGCGTGTCCCTCATTCCGGACCTGGACGCCATGCTCTGGCACCTGATGCGCGAGGACTACATGACTAAGCACATTTTTGGTCAAACGCCCACAGTCCGCGGCGGGGTCGTAGGCGAGCACGGGTCGCGGGTATGGGCTGTGTGGACGAGGGGTTACTACGGCGGATTGAAGAAGCCCGAGGGGAATACGATGCATATCCTGCGTCTTGCGATCGAGGACGAGGAAGGGAGCGGGGATGAGTATGTGCAGGGGGCTATTGAGGCACTCCTGAGATTGGCGAGGGCGCAGGCGGCGGAGTGGAAGGTGAATGGTGTCGAGATGTGGAATCCTGAGCCTAGGGTGAGGGGGTTGATTGAAAAGGCGGGCATTCCGCATGAGTTCATCGAGAGGGAGAATGATAGCATCGCCAGCCTCATGTGGTATGGCCAAGGAGAGGTTGAGTGGGTGCTCAATGAGAAGTTTGGCTGGTGCTGACCGATTGGTCACATACTTTGCATATAATTAGCAGGCTTATACAAGTGGCAACACGTTGATTCAATAGGAACTTCAAAAACTTTCACAGGTCTGGACATCCAGGCCGGCATGACGAGGTATCATTAGCAAAGTGATCTATGAACCGTCTAACCTTGAACACTCCCGCAATTGGCCCATTTTTGCTTTTAATTCTTTTTTCCAAACATCGCTCACGTTCCTCAGTGACCGTGTCCATCGTCCTCGGCCTGCTGCTCGGGGTCCAACTTGATCAGGGTATCGATACGCATGATGCTAATGCATGCCTCCACGGCACTCTTCAGCTGCCTAATCTTGCTGATGGTGGGCTCCAGAACACCGGCCTTGATCTCGTCAATCACCTTGCCGCGCACCAGGTCGAGACCGTAGTTCTTGTACGCCTTCTTGCGCGCGACCGTCTTCTCGTCATCGTTGGCCTCACCCTCCTGGATGCGCTGAGACAGCGCGTGCCGGGAACGCAGCTGGGCGACCAGCTCTGATGCGTCCTTGGCGGCGTTGACGGCCAAAGTCTTGGGAATGACAAGAAGCGACTGGGCGAACTCGCCAATGGCCAGCTGCTCGCGGGAGCCGACGGTGCCGGCAAACTCCTCGAGGTAAATGTGCAGGGCGGTCTCGACGGAACCGCCGCCGGGAACGATGCTGCCGCTCTCGAGCGTTCTCTTGACGGCGTTGAGGGAGTCGTGGATGGAGCGCTCCATCTCGTCCAGGGTGAAGTCGTTGGGTCCGCGGAGGATGATGGATGCTGAGGAGTGGCTCTTGGTGCCCTTGACAAGGATGCACTCGTCGTCCGAAATGCGCTCCTGAACAACCTCCTCGGCGTGTCCGAGGTATGAGGGGTCGAACTTCTCGTCACCGTTAAGGTCCGAAAGTGTGCTGAGCATAGTTGCGCCCGTCGCCTTGGCGATTCTGCGGAGGTCCTCCTTCTTGCATCTGCGGACACCCATGGCACCCTTCTCGACAAAGGTCTTGAGAACCATGTCATCGATACCCTTGGTGGTAAGGATGACGTTGGCACCCGCCTTGAGGATCATCTCTACTCTCTCCAGGATCATGCCCGACTCTCTCTGGCGAATCTGCTCCAACTGTTGAGGGTCATCCACCGTGATCTGGACACCCAACTTCATGCGCTCCTTTTGCAGGTTCATATCCAACACCGCAATCTTGGCATCTTGTATTCTCGTCGGCATAGCCTGCGAGGCGACTGTGCAGTTCAGAGCGTAACCCTTGATCAGCTGGGACTCGAGGGAGCCCTTGCCATGTGCCTTGAGGATGTTGACGGCCTTGACGGGGTATTTTGTCTCGTTGCGGCCGTTTGTCGACTTGACTGCCAGCATAGCATCAACGACCATGTTGGCGAAGAAATCAGAGTCGGCTCCAATGATCTTGCTGGACATGGACGTCTTGCCAATGTTGACGAGGGATTCGCGTCCGAGGTTCTCGACCTTGATGCTGATGTTCTCGTTCATGTACTTGACGGCCTCGCGCAGGGCAAGTCGGTAACCGGTGATGATGGTAGTGGGGTGTATGCGGTTCTTCATGAGCTCGTTTCCACGGCGAAGCAACTCTGCCGCGATCAGGACAACAGAGGTTGTGCCGTCACCGACCTCCTTATCTTGTTGTTGTGCCAGGTCGACCAAGATCTTGCCCGCCGGGTGCTCGACATCCAACAAGCTGAGAATAGTAGCGCCGTCGTTCGTGACCGTGACATCCTGCGCCGGGGGGTGAGCGGGGTCCAGGGGGGGGGGCCACATAACCTACACCAATATCATCCACCATCATCTTGTCGAGACCGCTGGGGCCGAAAGAGCTCTTGACGACATTTGCGATAGCTTGGGTCGCGAGAACTGCAAGTTTGTCAGCAAGATGAAGCTTCGTTGTGATTTGGCGGGTGGGGGGAGTGGGATATTGACATACCGTTCTGGTCTCTGATGTCGGCGCCGGAAATCTTCTGGCCACCGAGGAAAAGCGTGCCGCTCCCTGACTGCTCGAACATGGAAGCCATTTTTGCGCCTCACTGCCAGCGGTTGTGGTTGGATCGCGGGTTTTGGAGGTGGTGGATGGGGGGTGGTTTAAGGAGCTTCGGTCGGTGTGTGCCTGGACAGCAATAGAAGCTTCTGTGCTGTGCCTGCCTTGTCTCCCCTCGACGCAACTTTTTTATCGGAGCCGGGGTTGTTCCAGGAACCGGGGATGTGGCTGGTGCTTGTTATCTTATCGGGTCTGCAAGGCCCTGCCAGCGCAACTCATGTCTGATGGTTCCCCACGTTCCATACAGTCGGCAGCCCATCCGCAAGGTGTTAATACCTGAAGAATATTCAATGAAGTTAAAGTTTGCGAAGTAGTTTTCAGCATTCTTTGTCATTCTCATAGTATTATCATCAATTGTGTGTTTGCTCTGGCAATGTTTATCAACGCTGTCCTTCTCTGTAGCGCAGTGACATCCAGTGTGGCTTGACCCGAGATAAACAACCGGGGATGCTCCACAATTGATTAGGAGCCCGGGCCACCTTCCGACCCCGTGGCTGGAGCCCAATTGACCCCTCACTGCGCTCCCACCCAACAGCTCGACACACGACTCACTTTTAGTGCGGGGCACTTTTTCCGCTGCATCGCACCGCCTTCTCTGCCCAAAATCTCCCAGTGACTCAGGCCGATCTGGTCAACGCGTCGCCAATTCCATAAGACGAGACCCTACCCGACTTCACGAGACGACTCTGCGACCTGCAGTCAATACCGCAAATATGGCCGACGCTACCGCCCCCGCTGAGCCGTCCAAGAGCGCCTTGAAGAAGGCCGAGAAGCAGGCAAAGATGGCTGCTGAAAAGGCTGCAAAGGCCGCCAAGCAAGCTGCTCTCCCCGTTGTCGGAGGCAAGAAGAAGGAGGACATCACGGGTATTACCGTCAAGAAGCACGAGGATTTCTCTGCCTGGTACCAGGAGATTGTTCTCAAGGCTGAGATGGTCGAGTACTACAACGAGATCTCCGGTTTCTTTATCCTGCGCCCTGCGTCCATGTACATCTGGACCGTTATCCGCAAGTGGTTCTCCGAGAGAATCGAGGAGATGGGTGTCGATGAGACCAGCTTCCCCATGTTCCTTTCCTCCAAGTCTCTCGAGAAGGAGAAGGACCACGTCGAGGGTTTCGCCCCTGAATTGGCCTGGGTCACCAAGGCGTAAGTCGTCTCTCCCTTGATAATTGCGCCAAGGCCAATGCTGATATCCTACCTACAGTGGTGACAAGGATCTCGAGGTCCCCGTCGCAGTTCGTCCTACCTCCGAGGCCGTCATGTACCCTTACTACTCCAAGTGGATTCGCAGCCATCGCGATCTCCCCTTCCGCCTGAACCAGTGGAACTCTGTTGTCCGTTGGGAGGCCAAGCAGACCACCCCTTTCCTCCGCACAAGAGAGTTCTTGTGGCAGGAGGGTCACACCGCTCATCTTACCGAGGAGCTTGCTGGCAAGGAGGTTCTCGAGATTCTCGAGCTTTACGCTGGTGTCTATGAGCAGCTTCTCGCCGTCCCCGTCGTTCGCGGCACCAAGACCGAGAACGAGAAGTTCGCCGGTGGTTACTACACCACCACTGTCGAAGGTTACATCCCCTCCAACGGCCGTGGTATCCAGGGTGCCACCTCCCACTGCCTGGGTCAGAACTTCTCCAAGATGTTCGACATTACCGTCGAGAACCCCGACAAGAAGGGTGAGAAGATCCACGTCTGGCAGAACTCTTGGGGTCTGTCCACCCGTGTTATCGGTGTCATGGTCATGATCCACGGTGACGACAAGGGTCTCGTCCTTCCCCCTCGTATCGCCAAGACCCAGGTTGTTCTCATCGCTGTCGGTATCACTGCCAAGACCAGCCCCGAGGACAGAAAGAAGCTGGAGGACAAGGTCGACGATCTCCGCAACGAGCTGCGCAAGGCCGGTGTCCGCGCCGAGTCCGATCTGAGAGACGGCTACACTCCCGCCTGGAAGTTCAACGAGTGGGAGCTCCGCGGTGTCCCCCTGAGACTCGAGTTCGGCCCCAAGGATGCCGCCAACGAGGTTGTCGCCACTGCCCGCCGTGACACTGGCGAGAAGGGCTCCCTCCCCCTTGCCGAGATCTCCACCAAGGTCCCCGAGCTTCTCGAGACCATCCAGTCCGACATGTACAACAAGGCCGAGAAGTCATTCCGCGAGCACCGCCTCGTCCTGACCGAGTGGGACAAGGTCATCCCCGCTCTCGACACCAAGAACGTCGTCGTCATCCCCTTCTGCCTCGGCATGAAGTGCGAGGACCGCATCAAGGAGCTCACCACCAGCGAGCCCCCCGAGAACGCCACCCTTCCCGAGGGCAAGAAGCAGCCCAGCATGGGCATGAAGTCCCTCTGCATTCCCTTTGAGCAGCCCGAGAGCGGTCTCATCCCCGGCGAGACCAAGTGCCTCAACCCCGAGTGCGAGGCCAAGGCCCAGAAGTGGACCATGTTCGGCCGCAGCTACTAGAGAAATAGCGGCGATGATATCAAGAGGAGTTGTGGGAGGTTGAGCATTTTTGGGCCGGGATTACGAGACCTATACGGCAGGTTCGATTCATGTCATGTGTTGCTAGAGAGATGGGGTAGAGCAAGAGATCATTTGACGATTTCTCTGAGCAAAGGGCGTGAGGGGGGGTTAGATAGCTACGGCTGAAAAGTGATTCGATACCAACTTATGAAACAAATCCACGTACTCAAGTCTTGTTGTCCGCACTGTATCGACCTACATCTAGTCGGGCAATCACTCTCGAATCTCCTCAGAGCCTTGGGTGCGAGATAATTCATTGCTTTCACTTCTTGCTGCTGACCGAGTCGTAGTGAATGGCTAGGACAAGGCTTCTTTGGAGAGATACATGGTCTGTCATTTTTTTAACTTGGTGAGGAATAGGAACACGGCAAATTGATGGCATTTTACCATGCTACCCCCTTTTGAGTGCATCAGTAGCTCCAAAGATGCGGGCAAGGACGAAGTTGAATTGACTTACGAGCATGCTCCTCGGAGGGCTGTATTCTCATTGTCGGAGGTCAAGTCCGCCATGTCATGGAATTGACTTCGGCACGGCCACGGCAGCAGGACCCCCCTGTAACCCGGACCGCAGTGGAGTCGATTCATGATGGCTCATTCAATTGCCAGCGACGACGCATCCCGATAGGGAAGGTCTCGGCCCCGGGGTATGACTCATCTTCGTCCCCTTCCTCCAATCGCTTTCCTCTTGCAGCGTTGGGGAGTCACGCCGCCTCCAAGATCTCCAGCAGTCTTCGGTTACTTGCGAAGAAATTGCACAGGCTGCGAATCCTTCATCCAGTTTTAGGACAACCACGGTTTGTTTCGATGTTGTATTTGAGATGTGCTAGCTAATGGACCCCACAATTTGAGTCAAGGGATTTGTCGCGGCTACACGGCATCGAGTAATGAATGGCATTGTGAGGGCAATAGTTTGGTAATCTGTTGCTGATTCGCCAATTGCGTTTGAGATATCGCTATGAATTGACAAGTCTTGATCGTTGCCACAATGAGCTCCGTTTGCCTTAGGTTCAAATCCTTGCTTTGACAGCTATGAAGTGACGATTTACCGATTTGCCTTCGGTACATAATGGTCGCACAACCGAAGCACATCTAGTAAACGTCTCTCATCAGACTACTTAACCAAGCATCCCCAACGACCTGAGATACGTACTTGACGAACAAGAAATCTCTATTCATCACTCTCATCTGAATCTCATGCAGAGCACGACCACAACCTCAACTACCAATACCACAACCACCACCATGGAGCACTCAAACGCCTCTTCTCACTTCAAGCTCTCAGCAACCTCATGCGGCACCTGCGCCGTCCACTTTGACAACCCAGACACCCGCCGCGCTCACTCAAAAAGCCAATGGCACGTCACAAACCTCAAACGGCGCATGGCCGATCTAGAGCCCCTCACCGCGGAGCAGCACGCCGCCGTCGTCTCCACACAACCGGCCGCCGCTCCGGACAAGGTCGGCCCCACAGCGGATTCCGATTCATCGTCTTCATCTGCTTCTGATGCTGATCTGAGCGATGCCGATGACGATGACGATGAGTTCATTCCGGAAGAATGCTTATTCTGCAATACCACCTCGGATTCTCTGGATGATAATGTCGCGCATATGCATAAAGCGCATGGCATGTTCATCCCCGACAAAGAGAAGCTCATCGTCGACGTTGAGGCGTTGGTGAAGTACCTCCGCCTCGTCGTCTTCGGATATCGCGAGTGTCTGCAGTGTGGAACGCAAAGACGGACGGCTGCTGCGGTACAACAGCATATGATCGGAAAAGGCCATTGCCGCTTCGACATCACAGCGGAGGAGTCGGAGTTTCGAGACTTTTACGAGCAGTCTTCGGACAGTGGGGAGCAGAGCTCAGGAGGAAAGGACACTAAGAGGGCCATTGCAGATGCACTGGAAGAACGCGGATCGATCCATCTACCAGCTGGTAAACAGGTCTCTCACCGTTCTGCACCGGGGTCATCGAGACCTCGCAACAGGGTCGGCGCCAATACCGACACTACTGGCTCGGACAACCTCGTCACTGAAGGCTCCTCAGGTATCAACGAGTCAGAAGCGAGCTTTCAGCTAACAGCTCCATCTGGGCCCGGTAAGAAATTCGATACGAAAGCCCTGACGCGCGCCGAGAAGCGCGACGTTATCTTTGAGACGCAGCTTTCCCACTTGAGCATCAATGACCGCTCTGCGCTTGCGCATCTGTCGTCTGCCGAGCAGCGGAGCGTCTTGCTGACGAAGCAGAAGCAACTGGACAAGGCGGAGAAGGCAGCTAGGAGGCTTCAGACGAGGTTGGAGATGAAGGCGAATAAGACAGGGCAGGGGAACTTTGTGAATGATGTTCCTGGACGAAAGAATGGTTGATCGATAGAGGAGAACACAGCCTTGTACCAGGTCTTGATGCAACCGTTTTCTTGTTGAGACCGTGGGCTGTGAAATTTACTAAGAGGATATATCACTCCATGTTGTCTGCTATTGAATTTCGTTGCAAGCGTTCAAGCAGTGACTTGATTGTGCTTCAAATCCATGCGGGAAGTCTCACTCTAGCTCGAGTCTCCATCTCAGCGAGGATAGTGGTAGAGAACCGTTTTATTATCGCTAGCTTTCTGCCTCACATTCATACTACTATCCTTATTCATGACTTGTTACACCCATAAGAGATATTACTCATAGAAGATCCCCGAGAACCAAATAGAATGAGTTTGAATAGTGATAGAGAAAGCAATCTTAAGGTCAGGAAGTACGCGTGGATACAAACTTTGAATGATGTTCCGAGACGAGAGAATACTCGTTGACAACATCGTTAGAAATCTTGACCTGTATGGATCTTGATCTCAAGCTATTTAAATCGCAAGGCGTGATGTTTCCAAGTGCTTGCTCAAATCCTCCAACATGGCTGGACTCAAACATATACACATATCTTCAGAATACTGACACTGGCTCTAGGTCAGATCTAGGTGAGCAAATTGAGCCTTGCTTTGCGTATTAGCCAGCTATGCCAAATGACACAATGCGCTCGATTGCGAACCAAGTCCATAGGCAAGTCTGTATGCCAGCTCATAACAATTTCCCATCTGGGTCTGGTTATGACCGCCCTAAATTCACGTTGGTCGACATGTCGCGTCTGAAAATCGGTGACACCTGCACTTGTCATTGGTCATCTTTTTGCGCTGCGCCCCCATAATTTGCGGCCCGTAAACCATTGACCAATCACATACCCTGCTCTCACCGAGAAATGAAATATAAGATCAGTCTACTTCCCATCACTTTCAGTCTGGTCCCTCGTCCCTTCCAACTCAGATCCAGATGAGCTATTCCACTTCTTAAGTCTTGCTTGAGTTTATTACCTTTACCAACCCCTTCTCTCATCTCTCGCTCTTTTGGTCTTTTACCAATAGCTGTGGTCTGACACCAAAAGCGTATATACCGCTCAAGCCCAGGCCGCCTCCGTTCTCTTACACACTGTCCAACTCTTCATACTCTCCTACAGTCCAACAACCACATATCGACATCGCCGCAGTCATCCTCAACACTCCTGGAAGCGTACACTGCTATTCGATGCTTCATAGTCACGTGCTAAATCGACCTGAACCATTTACCTGGTCACGTGCAGAAGCAAGGGCAACACATCCACAGCACCAATATCAAGACTTCCCTACTGCAGCAGAGTTCCGCCCCCGAGTTTGGCAGGGAATCTGTCACCTTTCGGTGTCCATTCCAGAACACAAGGATTGGCGTCATCATCACGCCACAAAAGGGTTGCTGCCTAATTTCGTGTCAGCCTGACCCCGCTGCTGACAATCCGCCTTGTAGGCAGACATGCATACGCTGGCCCACTAGGCATCTCACTTCGCAAGCCTTGACATTTTGACTGGACACAAAATGTTGCCGCGTCACCATCAGAGGCATCTCGCAGAAAAGTAAGGCGCATACGCAAGGCATCGAGGCCTTTTTGGCTGCCTCGAGGTCGATCAGCGAAACGAATTGCAGCATACCGAATGAAGCTCAATCTCCGCTGCAACTCGCCAATTTCTTTCAGCAATCAACCCTTTGCCTATTACACAGGGTTCATCACAAAATCATACAACCTCCGTCTGTGAGGTCCGTAGAAGTCCAGAGCGCCTTGCGGCAATACAGCTGGCTTGGTTGAAGAAGAGCACCTTGTGATCCAGGCGCATCACTGGATTGGGCCAGTCACGACATGCCACGAACCCTATGCTGCACCCTGGAACCGAGTAAACCTCTACTGCGTAGTGCTGCAGATGTGTCTGCTTCTTCGAAGTGTAGTGGAGTATTGAGCCCAGAAGCCTAGACTATAGCACTCTGCTCCAGAGCCGGACTTTGTCTTGCCACCACTTACAGCTACCCTAGGTGCGTATTGATCGAATAATATGGTAATCAGGGTTCAGCGGATCTTCAACGCAAGAACCACCATTGCAACTCCTCGAAAAGTTCGAGTCGTTCTATATGGAGAGCTCTAGTAGCTGAATAGCCAACTCTCTATCGTGGATTGAAGTGGCAATTGCTACTATAGCATGACTTCGGTTCAGGTTCCTGTAATAATCGAACCTTTAGTTAAAGTCTTCGAGGTACGAGCCACGAGTGTGCATACCCAAAGCGACACCTACATGTTAAACACATGTTGCCTCGAGACAGAGTTGTCTTGACTCACGATGTCTTTTGCCCCCATTGTTCAAGGGTCGCAACACCACTGCTCATACGATTCATCAAGGATCAAACTCTTATAAGATTTTGCTTGTGTTTGATAAGAATGTACGATTATAGAACTTATCTGTCGAGCGAATCAACATCTAAACCGGAAGCTGGTTGCGAAAGGTAACAAACTTCTCGTGATTATTGCCTCTTCCTCTCAACTGTGAGTTCAACCTGACTATCATTGAATTACCATGAGATCTTTCGCCGCCTCCCATTACTATGCTCTTGCATACGTCTTGGGTGCGCCTCGCTTCTGTTGTGCTACCTTTACAGAATCAAGGTGGGGGTGGGGTATGTTTAGCACCGACAGCCCAATCGCGGCATCCGTCCGAGATGGTTAAGCAAAGACTCAAGACATACCGGTGCGAATCTCTCAAGGCACATTTCGAGACGCAACAACCCCGCGCTCCTCAAATCCCAAGCGCCCGCATGAGTCTAGCTGTGCCATGCTGTTGGCAACAAAACGCCTCACTTCCGCCAACAACGTTCCCGTCCAGGAGGACAATTGATGATATTTTGTGGGTTGGATGGTGCGCAAGCAAGTGGAACAACTTTCTGTTTCGATTGAAGCAACATAAACAAAATCGACGTTGGTCGCTTGCGGGCTGGGAGACATGATCGGCCGTTGGTGGCATGGCGGCATTGCAAGAGGATACAAAAGGTTCAAGAGATCGCCTCACCTTCGTACACTTCCAGGCTTGATACGCCATTGCTATCCAAAGACTGGCTTTGATTAAAACTCAGAAGCTACAGTTTGCAACAAAATCAGCTGTCAGAGGCTTGTTTTCTCAACAATGACTTATTCTGAGTACAATTGCCCCTTCAACTGCTCCGTCCATGTCTAAATGGTATCATGAGAAAGATCGTTCGACTCACCAGCCAAATTCATAGTGTAAATACGACAACGGCAGGCGGATCCTCTCAGAATTCCGCAATCGATCAGAATAGTGAAGCCGCCAGACTTCAGCAACAGCGCCTTGCGAGGTTTCAGGCCGAGCCCCTTGAAGACGGCAATAGGCTCGTCTTCTTACCATACCAGTCTAGCAGAGTCGATGCTGCTGTGAGGGCCCACCGCGAGAGAGTCTCTGGAAAGCTGGCAAAGTCATAATAAGGGATGGGCGAGGGAGGATTAACTTTTGTCTATCAATATTCTCCTGGCTTTGATGCATATATCCAGAACATGGACATGCACTCGTTCATGTGGAAAGATATTTGGGCCCAAATATTAGAAGCTCAAAGATTTCCCAGTGCCTTTAGGCGTAGCTCCCGATGTATAAATATTTGCAATGGTAATACAGACATCAATAAGCTTGTGCGAATTGTAAGCGTCCGTCCGATGATGTAGACGTCCCCAATTGTGCTCACCCGGACATGCTTTGCAATACTCCCAGAAATAGTGATGTGTGTAAAGCATTTCTAGTCTGTGATCTCATTATACTATTGAGTGTTTGCAGAATTCTTAGCCCTTATCCAATGAGTCGATGATTCGATATCATATCCCAGAGCCAATTGAGCAACCCACTACCACGACAAATAACCCCTGCATCCCGTCTGGTGATTGGGTCGTGGACTATTAAGGCTTCTTATGTCCAGGGCACATGACACTGACTTGTGTTGTAGTAAACTTAGGGAAGGGATTGGGCAGGTTCAAGTTGAGGTTGTTGGTCGGTTTCCGCGGCACAGTGATTTGTTCATCGGCCATGAATTGCTTGCATCCCCAAGTGAGGACGCCGTTCTTTACAACATCGCCACCACCGCATGCATTTTGAGCTGCAAGGAAAGAAAGTCAGCAAACTCATTTTTACTCTCACATGCTCCATAAACAAGTTGACTTACGTCCAATGGGGCCATCTTGACCGGCCTTGCCATAGGCGACAATGCGTGTCGGAGGAGGATCGTTGCGAGCAGCTTCAGTAACGGCGTCGTCCAAGTAGTACTAACAAAGCGTCAGTATGCCATCGATCGGGGTAAGTGAATATCATGTCTAGTTGGAGTAGAACTAACCTGATGAACAGCGGCGACCTCGGCGCAGCTGGCCTGTGTTCGGTGCTGCTTATCAACGGTGGTGCCACGCCTTGCCGCGTCCTGCAAGCTAGTCTGACATCGCTCAAGCGCAACGACAACCTGAGGCTTAAGACGCGAGTCCGCATAGGTATACAAGAAGGGCCCACCCTTTAGGTTGGAAGACAGATAGACGTCCTTGCCGAGGGCCATGGCGGCCATCATGACGGGTTGTCTGTTGAAGCGGACTCTATCCGCATTGAACTTTGTCTGCATTTCGTTGAAGGCTGCACGAGCGAGCCCGTAGAGCTGACCATCGCTGAAGAGCGTTCCGGTGTCTTGCTCAAAGGTGAGCTTGGCGGAGTAAACGAAACGTTGTGCATCGTCGCGCGCGGCCTTGTCGAGGGTGATTCCGAACGTCTGAGCAGCGACGTTGAGGATGAGGGTGAAGAGCAAAAAGAGTGATGAGAGACTGGCTCCCCAGCTACCGCCGGCGTTAAACCACATCGTGGGTTACTTTGAGACTACTTGAGATTCTGGAGCAGGACTTCCAGTAATAGACTGGCAAAAAGAGTGTAAGGGCGGAAAGCCGGATAAGGAATGAATTGACGCGAAACCGCGGAGGAGTTCAAGAGAGTGACAGTATG